ATATATATGTATATAAATATATTTACTCTTCTATCTCACATCTGCCTTTTTTTTGGTATTGTTAATATTTTATTTTATTTTGGTATCTGTTTTCTGCTTCTTTGCACCAATGGACCAAGTCAAATTCCTGGTGATGTAAAAATTACTTGGCAATAAAACTGATTCTGATTCTGATTCTGATTCTGATTCTAATCCAAGCCATGTTCAAAATGACAGAATTTTGGATACTGAAAATATGTCTTTGGTGGTTTCTGATGGGCACAAATTGTAAGAACCGTAGATATCTGAAGACTACTTTATCACTCAGAAGACTGTTTAAGCTCATCTAATTATTGTCAAGCTGCTAGTAAAATATTATGAGCTGAAAGAGAACATGCAAGAATGAAGCAATTTTGATTCAGATTTTCTTTTTTTGCATCATTGTTTGCTTGTATCATCCTAAACTGATCATCTTTGGCAGATGTGAGTGTTTCATTTGTTGTATTTCTGGTGCTTTGCAGGCTGGACTTCATCTATGACTTGTTTGAGAAGGTTGGCAGCAGGAACAACGAGGAGAAGATGGGCACAGCCAGACGTAAACCCACAGTGAGCTCCCAGTTCAGGGTGAGCGGTGCATCGCATTTGCAAATAATGACTCTCTAATAGAAGAAGCTGTTAAAGTTTACTATGTAATCTTATCTCAGCATCTCAAAACAAAGGGGCTTGAGCCACAGGGAGCTGAAAGAATGGGATTTTTTTCTTTATCAGTTTATTTTTATGGCTTATAAAATTTTTAAATCTTTAAAATGGCCATGGCAATTTAGTAAAATGGCATTTGGATGAAAACAGATAACATTTTTTTTTTCCTTTGTCTCCTCAGGACTCCCTTCATGCTCTCATGGCCACGCTCAGTGTCTCCAATCCTTTCTTCATTCGCTGCATTAAACCCAACATGGAAAAGGTTTGTTTGTTTCTATTGCACACTTTATACCTGATGTCAGAGAATGATTGAATATGATATCAAAAGGTGCTGGTTTAACGTTAAATCTTTTGTATTTTCCTCGCAGAATCCAAATGTGTTCGACCCAGAGGTCGTCCTGAACCAGCTGAGGTATTCTGGGATGTTGGAGACTGTGAAGATCCGTCGTGCTGGGTTTCCTGTTCGTAGGACTTTCAAGGATTTCTTCTCTCGGTTAATATCTCTAAATATACTTTAGTATATCTTTAGTGTTTGCTTAATCCTTTTTGCAGCGATAGAAGAAGTTATCAGGGCCTTTACTTATGTAAAAGTACCAATACACAGTGTAGAAACACAAGTCAAAGTCATGCATCTATATCTATGTGTAACGTACATTTTTGAAAGTACAAAAGAAAATGCATCAAAAAAATACTTAAAATACCAAAACTGAAAGTGCTCATTATGTGGAATGGTATATAAATTCAGATTACTGTCAAAATCTTGGATTCCAATTGCTGATAAATTATTGTGTTCATCAAGTTAAGGCTGGAAGTGTTAAAGATGATTTAACTACTTTTTACAGTTTGTCTGCTGGTTAGTTTAAGAAAAGAAAGTTTTACGTTAAAATTTATTTCTGGTTATATTTTGTATTTTTTTAAACTAAATGTGCAAATTAACTGTGTCCAGTAAATGTAGTGGAATAAAAATGCAGTAATTATAGTGAAGTAGAAGTATAAAGTAGCAGAAAGTGGAATACTTCAGTCAGATACAAATAAGTCATAATTGTACTTAAGTACAGTAATTGAGTAAATGTACTTAGTTACTGTCCACCACTACATTTTTATGTGTTTGTGTGTCTGTTTTTTGTTGGCAAGTTTTTACTCTTTGAGACTCTTTCTGACATCATTATTGTTTCTCACACTCTGTCCTGTTTCTGTGGCAGATATAAGATCATTCTGAAAGAAAAAGTCCCAGCAGCAGGAGACGATAAGAAGAGAAGCACAGACCTGCTAACCAAATATGACAAGACTAAGAAAGAGTGGCAGTTAGGAAAGACCAAGGTAAGACCTACACGTTTTGGCAACATCACTTTTAGACTCTGAAGTCTTCATGACTGATGATTCAAAAGTGTTCCCTCCTGTTTAAAATCATCATTCTTCAAATTCTTTTAATAGGTTTGCGTTCAATTATTTGAATGTCCTACTGTTACCTTTCGTAGGTGTTTCTGAAAGAGTCTTTGGAGCACCGTTTAGAGAAAGACAGGGACGAAGTCCGGCGCCAAGCTGCCATGATAATCCGAGCTCACCTGCTTACTTTCTCTGCCAAGTAAGACCCTCTGAGTACAAATTAATTTTATTATGAATGCCTGTATGAGGTTAAAGCACTCTGACTCCCACATTAGAGATGCACCCTTGTTCTGATTTAGTGTTTTTTTCCCCCTTTCATCCACAGGAAGCACTTCAAACGTGTACGCACCAGCGTCGTCACCCTCCAGAAACACTTACGAAGGCACATCCAACACCGACGGTTCACGAAGCAACGCAAGGCAGCGCTGGTGCTGCAGAAACACAGACGAGGCCAGGTGGCGCGCACTCGCGTTCGAAAACTCAAAGACGAAAAGAAGAAGAAGGAGGAAGAGCAAAGGAAGAAAGAGGAGGGAGAGAAGAAAGCAGTGGGTGAAGGAGATGAGAAAAAAGCGGATGAAGATGAAGATAAAAAAGACACATCGCAAGAGGCAAGTTAAACACTTTAAAGTCAATCAAGTTAGCATATTTTCAGTCTGAGATGCTGCAGCTCATTCACCTCTCTGTGATTTACAGAATAGATTCAAGATTCAAGGCCTTCATTATTTGTTATTTCATGGTTATTGAATCCTTTTCCGTCCTTTATTCCCCTGTGTAGGCTGAGTCCCGCCAAATGGAGGAGATCCTGCAGCTCGAGCGGGAGATCGAGCGTTTGCAGAAGAAGAGAGAGGACGAGGTGTCGCAGCTCTGTGAATCCTCTAAGCAGGAGCTGCAGCTGCGTCGGGACGCTGAGCTCAAACGCATGAAAAAGGAGGCGTCCCGTAAGGCCACAGAGCTCATTGACCTCCTGAACTTTGGAGGCGTGGATCCATCTCTGGGAGCGGTCGGAGCTAAACCTGCAGCAGAGGCCAAAGCTGCAAAAGGGCCGAGTAAAGCCAGAGGTGCATCCAAAGAGGAGGACGTAGATGAAGGCTTCCACGCTGAGGAGGAGTGCATCCCTCTGCCGGACTTTCCTCCTCCTGCTGAGACAGACGCTCCCATGGATCAGGACATACTTGTTCACCTTCCTCCTCCACCGCCTGCCTTTGCAGAAGGAACAGTGCCTCCAGCGCCACCTCCTCCGCCTCCCCTTCCCGCAGACGGCGTTGTGGCTCCCGGTGGGATTCCTCCTCCTCCTCCTCTACCTCCACCTGGAGACGGTGCTGCTGTCCCTCCACCGCCTCCTCCTCCACCACCTCCACCTACCCCAGGAGACGGGGAGAAGAAGGACGGGGCCAAGACGGAGCCGGAGAGGAAGGTGAGCATGGTGGAGAGCCTGGTGGACGGAGAGGAGCCCATCTACAGCATGCCGGCCGACACCGAGTCGGACTACGACCAGGAAGAGGAGGAAGGGTCCGTCAACGCCGGAGACGACAGCTCCGTTTCTGGAAGCAACCGGGGAAGCACCACGGTGACGGATGAGGAGCATCCGAGGAAGTCGACCTGCACCAACGCCAGCATTGAATCCTACAGAGGCAGCTCTGACTCTGTGAGGAGACACACTTACACGCATCCTCACACGCGTGCACGCAGATATGTATGAGCAGCCATAAAGTGAACCTCTATCTGTGATTAACTGAAAATGCAACATGTTTTTTTTCCACTTTTTATTCTATAATTTATTGCATATGAGTCATTCCCTGATGTTATTGTGTAATGTTGCAGTACGCAGACAGTGACGACGAACATGATGGCATGATGGACACTGATGAAGAAGTGACAAATGGCAGAGTCACTTTGCTTAATGGAAATGGGCCGCCATACTTCCACGGCTACCTCTACATGAAGGGTGTGTATATCTTCCTCTGTGTTTGACATTAGCTCCTTATGAGAGCTTTTGGCCCTTTTCTATCTGATTTACATACTTGCTTCAGTCAATGCTTCTAATTTAAACACACATATGCATTAATAAATGTATTGTTTAGTATAAATGACCAAATTTGATCATGTCTTTGAAAATATAGGACACAAAGCACCACATTTTGTTTTAAAAAAAACATAAAAACAAGCTGCTTTTTGTGTGTGTCTTACAGTGACCCTACTAAAATGTAAATCATAAAGCACTTTCAGGTTTGGATTTCCTGGTTCCTACATACCTCATCCATAAGATGTCAGGTTGATATGTATAGGGACTAAGATTTTACAATTAATAAGCAAACCCAAATGCAAAATGATTAAAATGTGTTTTTCAGCACTTTGTTTCACCAGTTGTATCAAAGCTTCTCCAAACAGCAATGTAATGATAATGGTCGGGCCACAGTGGCATCAGGATAAACAGGGGATTCCTTTCTCCAGCCAGCAACATTTTCCAGCTCCTTCTGAGGGATCCTGAGGTGTTCCCAGGCCAGATGAGATGTATAATCCCCCCAGCAAGTTCTGGCTCTGCCCTGGAGTCTCCTCCCAGTTGACCTCTGAGCACCTCACCCTGTCCCTAAGCCTGAGCCCAGCCACCGTACAGAGGAAACTCTTTTCAGCTGCTTATATTTGCAAACTCAGTCTTTTTGGACGCTTCCGATGGCTATAGGTGAAAGCTGGAATGTAGACTGACTGGTATTTTGCAGACTTTGCCTTCCGGCTCAGCTCCGTCTTCACCACAACTCATTGGTGCAAAGCTGCATTACTGATGACATGGCACCAATCCGACATTTTTAAACTTCTTCACTTTGGGCAGCAATTCATGGCCTGACACTTGGATGTGCTGATTCTCATTACACTCAGACACAACCCTCCCTGGCGCATGCTGAAGGTCTCAGCCTGATGAAGCCAACAGAACTACGTCATCTGAACACACAAATCAAAGGTTCCCAAACCGGACACCCTAATCAAGCCGGCTGCACCATGAGATCCTGTCTATAGATAACACAACCAGGGGCAACCTTGGCTGTTTGTCTTTGTATCAAAAGTAAAAATACAGCTCTCACTTTGGTTGTACAAGGACTGGACGTCCTGTACCAGCGGCTCTGGTACACCATATTCCTGCAGTGTTGTCCCTGAATATATGACCTGACGTGGCTGCAGTTCAGGTGTTCAGTCCTCTGGTCCTCTGCAAATTCTGCCACTCTGGGGAGTTCACACAAGGGGACACTACAAGTGAGGATTTCACTCAGTTTGTCTTCTTCAGGGGAGAGCAGAGAACACATGAGACTGCTAGCTGTCATTAGATTAGCTGTGATTTAAGGTTTAAGACATGTTTCAACCTGTCTTGGCCTGGGCCACACCATTACTTTACACCTTTCAAATTTCACCTGCTTTCACGTTTATTTCTGATTATAACTACGTCCTCTCTGCTCCTTTAGCCGGTCTGATGATCCCATGGAGGAGGCGTTGGTGTGTGTTAAAGGATGAGACCTTCATGTGGTTCCGGTCCAAACAAGAGTCGCTGAAGTCTGGCTGGCTCTACAAGAAAGGAGGAGGCCTGTCCACTCTCTCACGGAGGTTGTTGTAGTTATTACTGAGTGAAGCCTGCATGCTAAGTGAATGAAACTTTGCACAACATCTCTGTTGGAAATACAGCTCTGCACAATCTGATGAAAGTTGATAAAGTTGATTAAAACGCTTCAATGTAATGATTTTGTAGGCATCACTGTGCTAAGATCTTACAAACTCTGCAAAGTAGAAGAGTTCAAAGCGTACATTAGTCCAACTAAAAGCACGACGTTTCTTTTTAAGGCATTAAACGTCCATGTGCATGTCAGCTTGACTGCTAGAACTGGTCAATGCAGCTTGAATTGTTGTACATATTCCTGTGTGCTGTTGGCGGATTTGGGTATTTGTCTAACTTGAAGCATTAAACCCTCTGCAGCACTTTTGGTAAACTGCAAAAAAAACATTTAGACCAAAGATTGGTGAGTTACGTCTCAGAAAATGGAAGGAATGAAGGGGGAACACCTTGTTAAAATGTGTTTAAAGGTGAAATGACAGATGTGAAACTTCACCTCACAGAGATTATTCAGAAACTACAATCACATAAAAATGTTTTTAAATTGCACAAACACAGATTATTGTAGATGTAGTTATGTCAGATGTATTCTACAACGATAAATAAAAGTAGTGCATGTATCATTAATAGTTAAATAAACCTTTATGATAAACACTTGTACAGTGGATTGTCTTGGCCTTTTCACTAATGGAGTCTTATTTTCCGACAGAAACTGGAAGATGCGCTGGTTTGTTCTGAGAGACAGCAAGCTGATGTACTATGACAACGACAGCGAGGAGAAGCTGAAGGGAACCATCGACATTCGAGCAGCCAAGTAAGATTTCAAATAAGTTCCAGCAGCAGACAGAAACAGAGATTTCATTCCCCGTTTTTCTGATTCCTTGACAAAATCTGCATTTCTCAGACATATATCCTGTTTGTGGTTTTGCAGGGAGATTGTGGATAACCATGAAAAGGAGAACGCTCTGAATATCGTGACAGATGAAAGGACCTACCAGGTGTTTGCCGAGTCGCCAGAGGATGCAAGGTGTGAAGGAGATGTGATCATGTAGAAAACATTTATATGTGAGCTTTTTCCTACATTCTGATCTGTGATGGCATCTTTTTCTCTCTGTGCAGCGGGTGGTTCAACGTTCTCAGTAAGGTCCGAGTGTGCACTCCCGAGCAGCTGCTGGAAATGTCGCATGAACAGGCAAACCCTAAAAATGCTGTGGTCAGTCTTCCCATGAAACAAAAACTCGGCTGTTATTAGTTGTACCACTTTATTAATGCTATCATGGAACAGTTTTAAAATCTTGTCCTTTCCTTCTACATTTCTTATTCAGGGAACTCTTGATGTCGGGTTGATTGACTCAGTTTGTGCATCAGACAACCCTGACCGGTGAGTTGATCAGTCATCAGAAAGAGTGAAAAGAGGGATTGATTTTGCATGTCTGAGAGAAAGAAGCTTTGTTCTTTTTTGATTTTTATTTTGATTTTTTTTTTTACATTTATTCAATTTGGGAACAGACTGATATCATACTTGCGTTTTGAATGACAGAGAGTTTTGCTTTTTTGCTGATGTTCTCCCTGCTTATGGTACATAATACCAATCTATAGTCGAAAAGGCGAAAGAGTGTCAATGGTCTTTATTTCAAATTAAACAACTTCTTTTTTGGTAAAACTTTACAATGAGGTAAACACAATCCTGAGCAGTTACTAAGAAGAGAGTAAGAAATAAATGGGGAACTTCCAATAACTGATGAATCTCTAATCGATCATGATGGAAAAAGCATAAAAGTAAATAAAAAATGCCCAATGTGGAAGAAATTGTCGTTGCGACTTCACACAGGATTCCATCCACACTCTCCTGAATGAAAGTCCTCTGTTTAACTCATTACTTACACTACAGACCTGTGATTATCTGGATTTTCTGAAGTGTTAAAACAGTGCAGATGTGTAGTTTTATCTCAGACCACTTTAGTCACAGCATGCTGAAAGGCTTTTTTGTAAATTTGGCCTTATGCTGCCTAAAAATACTGCTTTAAAACTCTATCGATGCATGTTTGCAGGCCCAACTCCTTCGTCATCATTACGGCCAACCGTGTGATTCACTGCAACAGTGACACACCAGAGGAGATGCACCACTGGATCACTCTGCTGCAGAAACCCAAAGGAGACGCCAGGATAGACGGACAGGAGTTCCTTGTCAGAGGTGAGATTTATTTTTTTGGGATACTTTACATGCATTTCAAACCTTTCTACAGCAGTTTACGATAGCGTTTGGAAGAAGGTGCTCTTTGGTGAGGCAGGTAGAAGAACACCAAACAAGATCCAGGAAGTTTTGCTTTATATTATATGTGCAGACAAGCATGGAAAAGAACCAAAGCAGCCTTTTCTGGTGAAATAAAATTATTCATAATAGAAAAATGTGTTTGAAAATCCACATACAACAGAGATCTCCAACTCCAGTCCTCATGAGCTACCGTCCTGCAGGTTTTAGATGTTTCCATACTGCAACACACCTGACTCAAATTAATGGATCTCCAACAGCTTGTTGTCAAGTTCTACACAAGCCTGTTAATGATCCATTAATCTGAGTCAGGAGTGCTGCAGTATGGAAGCATCTAAAACCTGCAGGACAGAAGCTCACGAGGACCGGAGTTGGAGATCTCTGGTATACAACCTGTTCAGAAACCACTATATACTGTATTATTTCCAATTTGTTGTTGGTTTTGGAAGTTTTTGTAAAAGGTATAATTCCTTCCAACATTCAGAGAATATCTTCATCCATCCCTGTTATGTTCATTACTTTCTTCCCTCTCTTCCTCTCTCATCATCTTTCAGGCTGGCTCCAAAAAGAGATGAAGACGAATGCCAAGAGCACCTCCCTGAAGCTGAAGAAGCGCTGGTTTGTTTTGACCCACAACTCCCTGGATTACTACAAGAGTTCAGAGAAAAACTCCTCCAAGATGGGAACTCTGGTGCTCAACTCCCTCTGCTCTGTCATTCAGCCGGATGAACGAGTGCATAGGGAGACAGGTGAGGACGGAGAAATGAAACGAAGAGGCAAACGGGGCACTTTTAATCAGGGATTATACGTAGGAGGTTAAGGATACATGCAGGATTCTTGTTTTACATTTATGTAATTGAAAAATGCCCGAGTAGCTGGATTTTATTCAATTAAATTAAAGATAACCATTATGTATCTCTCATAAAACTTAATTATCCCCTTTAGGAAATATATTTTTATTTCATTTTTAACCCACTGAACCCAAAGCAGCTTCTGGGTATCTGCTTCTCTTACATCTTTACTCGCTGAGGGCTCATTTTCAAGGCAGTAAAAATTCCTGCACTTCTGTGGAAACAGCACAACCATGGCTAGAAGTAGAAGGAACTTGAAATGTGTTTTTTGCAGAATAGTGAAATTTTAATACCGCAAATCATGAAAAATAAAAAAAATGTCAGTTAAATTTCTTTGAATATGAATTTTACAAAAACTGAAAAAACCTGGAATCAACATGTGCAACGTTTTTCTAAATCCCCTCTGGTGTTACTAATACTGGAGCAAAAAGTGGGGGCTCAACATGCTATCTATATTTTTCAAGTCACATCTTTAATTTGTTTCCATACTTGTTTCCCATCTGCTCTGTTTAAGCCCATTTCAGCTGAAAAGTCCCAGGATTTTTAAAATGTGAATGTTCATTGCAACTCACTCACTCATAGCATCCGTGTTGTACCAAGAAGCACAGAATTTTTTGGTATTTACAGAATCTAATTACAGCAAACTGTTTATTTTTGACAAGTTGAAAAATGTGATTTTGACAGAATATCACGTTTTTAAGCTTGTATGAGGTTATGTTTTCTAACAGAACAGCATGTCTCACATGATGAGTTCAAGGACCATCAGAAAGTTGAAATTCTGCTTATTTTTTCTGTTTTTTTTCTGGCTCTGATAAATGGCACCATTTAGGTGATTTTAAAAAGATATTGTGCATTTTAAAACTGCTGGGGAGTTTTGAGAATCAGTGGGTGAAGAAGTAAACGCTGACTGTTTTTACAGGCTACTGGAACATCATTGTGTACGGGCGGAAGCATTCCTATCGCCTTTATACTAAGATGCTGAATGAGGCCATGAGGTGGACCGCTGCTATACAGGGAGTCATAGACAGCAAGACCCCGATAGAAACTCCAACTCTACAGCTCATCAGAGACATCAAGGTAACACGCAGACATAATAAGTGTTTGAATTCATCAACAGAAATGTGTTTTTAAGACGTGTATTTAGATCTCTGCGCTCCCTCAGGAGAACAGTGTGAACCCAGAAATAGTGGAGCAGATGTACAGGAGGAACCCGATCCTCAGATACACTCAGCATCCTCTGCACTCCCCTCTCCTGCCGCTCCCTTACGGAGAGGTCACCAGCGGTGAGTAAAGCTCCCTCCTAAACCACTGCTTCTTTTTCCTCTCATCTCCCTCTCTTCTCCTTGTTTTTTAAATGGTGCATTTGGAAGCTCTCATGCATGTTATTGCCCTCTGCAGGTGAAAACCAAACTTTTCATGCTCACAAACCCAACTGTGTTAGAAAGCTACAAACATTTATCTTCCAAAGAACTGGCTGCTTTGGCTAGTCGTGTTATATTTCTTTCTACAGTACTCCTAAACTCTTAGACAGGGACAACAACGTACCTCAGCTCTTAATTTTATTGTTGCTATTACAGTCATCTTTGGTGCTATTGACACTCTACTTGTTTTGTTGTCTTTAGTGAACAATGCCCTGTCTTCACTGACATTTTCTTTTCTCATTTTCCCTGTAAGCAGTACAAAGGCAGCAGGGTTATGCCAGCCTGCAGGATGAGGCGGTGCGTGTTTTCAACTCGCTGCAGGAGATGGAGACGCTGGCAGACACTGTGCCCATCATTCAGGGCATCCTGCAGACCTGCCAGGACCTGCGCCCTCTCAGGGATGAGGTACAAACTGAAAAAAAGACGATGCAAACATTTTCACATGCTCGAAGCCATGAAAAAACCACGTACTCGACACTTTCATATAACATGTGCGACAGTGTTTTAATGACACGATGAGTATTTTATAAGATGTTTCAGTTGAGCCTTTTCAGCGTGCACTCCTTTACTCCTTTACTCCTTAATCTGACGACAACAGAGTATGTAAGCTCCATGGTTGAATAAGCAACCTGGTCACTTTTCCATTGCGGTGGGTTTGTCTCAATTAAGCGGAAAAGTGACCTACATCTAAATGTCAGGATGCTGTCACTTTAACAGACTGAAGCCAGCACTGTTATGTATTCCATGTCTGAAAACGGCTTCGTTGGCACTCAAATGTTCATCAAATCTTTAGCCTTCTTAACCACCCTTCATCATTTTCCTTTAGGTATATTGTCAGGTGATCAAGCAGACCAATCATGTGCCTCAGCCAAACAGCCCAGCCAATAGAGCACACTGGCACCTGCTCACCTGCATGAGCTGCACCTTCCTACCCAGCCGAGCCATCCTCAGATATCTCCGCTTCCACCTCAAGAGGTGAGAGCCCATAAAATGGACGCCACTTCATCTGTAACATGAATGCATACTAAACGTGTTTTGTGTGTTTGCCACTCAGGGTACGTGAGCGTTACCCCGGCACAGAGATCGAACGCTACGCCAGTTTCATCGGGGAGTCCCTAAAGAAGACCAAGACTCGTGAGTTTGTTCCATCTCAGGAGGAGATCGCCGCCCTGCTGGTGAGGCAAGAGATGAGCACCACCGTCTACTGTCACGGAGGAGGCTCCTGCAAGATCTCCATCAACTCACACACCACCGCTGGAGAGGTGCACACAAACAAATACACACTAACACACTACCTTACCCATGCAGGAGGTAGTTTAATGCTGTGTTAGTGCAGAGTTGCTGTTGGTCTCTGTTAGCTTATCCTTCCTTATGTAGTGAATAATGTCAACCTGAAACATCCTGAACGTATATTCTTAAGGGAACCGCTATTAAAGTATTTTGGCCTAATTCTTTTTTTTTTGCCTCCAACTGACATTACAAGGAAAGTGCATTCAAGTTAATGAGGTCAAGAGACACTGTATCAACTTATATGGCATTTGTAAAAAGCAAAAACAGACAAAAAATGAAATTAGGAGAATATAAAAAAGGGGAAAAAAATGAATACAATGGGGGGTATAAAAACATTTCTAAGTGATTGATTTTTTTAATTATTTGGAAAAAAAATGGTACACTGAAGTTGCAGTTACTAATGAAAATTAATCAGTGTTTTACTGTTGTTGCTGCAGGTTGTGGAGAAGCTGATCAGAGGTCTGGCCATGGAGGAAAGCAAGAACCTGTTTTCTCTGTTCGAGCACAATGCCTTTACAGACCGAGCTCTGGAGAGCAGGGTGATTGTGGCAGATGTTCTGGCCAAATTCGAGAGGTATCTTAGTTTCTATGTACAGTATAAACTGTAGATACAGCTTTAAATAGGTGACAGTATGTTGTTTGATCTGTGTGGTGACTCATCCTGGGTTTGCTTTGTCCATTTTTTTTTTTCTTTCAGATTGGCAGGCAGCGAAGAAGAGGAGGAGGAAGGAGAATGGAAATTGTACTTCAAGCTCTACTGCTTCTTGGATGTGGAGAGCATGCCCAAGGAGGGAGTGGAGTTTGCTTTCATGTTTGAACAGGTCAGATTCAAGCTTTGGTTTATTTACCATCATGCCACGCAAGAGTGAACAATGAAATTCTAGATTTAGTCCCTTTATGCTACTCACTGCCGGTTCGCGTCCCGGTGGGGGCACCGGAATCTTTCTGCGTGGAGTCTCCATGTTCTCCCCGTGCAGCGTGGGTTCTCTCCGGGTTCTTCGGCTTCCTCCCACACAGTCCAAAAACATGTTGAGGTTAATTGGTGATTGTAAATTGTCCGTAGGTGTGAATGTGAGTGTGCTTGGTTGTCTGTCTCTAAGTGTGGCCCTGTGATAGACTGGTGACCTGTCCAGGTGAACCTGCCTTCACCCTGAGTCAGCTGGGATAGACTCCAGTCCCCCGCGACCCTAGTGAGGATTAAGCGGTGTATAGATGATGGATGGATGGATGCTACTCACACTAAAAAGTCAAATTACTTAAAGGATGAGTTCAGTGATATCATAGCCAGAGGAAAGAAATTGTCCTTCCTGTCTTGAGCAATGCACATGATTCCAGTTAGGATGCTTTCTATCGCTCTGTAAAACTTAACAAAAACTTGGCATAGAAATGTAGCTGGTTACCATAAGAACTACAGCTGTTTCTGAGCTTTAAGATAAGATTTACTCCACAACTGGGTCAAATATTGGCAAAGAGATTGAAACCATGTAATAATAGTGTTACTAATTTCTTAACTTTTCCAAAGATTTCCAAAAACTAATGACATTTCTAAACTTTCTCAAGGGTCAAAGCTCAGCCGTCACTTTGTAATTTGCATTTCCACAGCAGGGACAGAGCCCCGGGAAGATTAAGCAAATTAGTCTGCAGATGTCTCAGAAGCGCGACAGTCTCCAATTCCCTCTGAATGTCGTCCTCTGCAAAAACAAAACCTTGACTTTGGAGTTGGTCCATTGGGCATAAAATCTCTCGATGTCCTTTGTCCTGATTATTCTCAGTCACAAATCACAACCAAAACATGTTTGCATTTGCAGAGTTTTTTCAATGTTGACTGTAACTTCTATTCTAAGGCCCCTAACAGTTACTTAAGCTTGTATGAAGTTAGTTACTATTATCTGTGTGTCAAAAAAGCACTTGTTATACTGCATGTGATCATTCATAATGTAATCAAATCTAGTTGTTTAAATTGTACAATGGTTTGTCTCTTGGACTTGTCTCCCTCTTTCAGGCCCATGAATCTTTGATAAGTGGTCACTTCCCAGCCTCAGAGGAGACTTTGCAGCATCTCGCCGCTTTACGTCTCCAGTATCTCCACGGCGACGGGGCAGGTCGGGCCGGATGGAGCCTGGGAAGCGTTTATCCAATTGGACGCCTTCGCAATCGCATCCTGCACTCCACCAAGCCAGGCGTCGGGGCGGCAAGTGGAGCCGGAGGAGGAGGAGTCGGGGGAGCGGGAGATGGAAAAGGCGCTGTGGGAGGACCGGGCGGTGTCGGGCCCGGTGCAGAGAAACGAAAGACCCCGAGCTTCCTGGACGGCACCCTCAGGAGAAGCTTCAAAACGGGTTCACTGAAGAAGCAGAAGGTATTTTTATATTAACAGGCAACAGCTTAGCCTTTAAGTGTCAATGTTGTGATCACATCTTGTTAGTGCTGCTCCAGATGGTCACAAAATCTCTGAATGAAGATTTTGAAATGATAAAGAACAGCTGCAAAATCAACACCAGTTGAATTTTACTTAAAGCTACTATGCGCAAGAGTTTTAAAACTCCAACAATGGTGCACCCCAGTGGAGGAAAGAAGGCACTGTAAAACCGGAGACAAAGGGATCGAATACAGCACTTTGAATACATCATAAACTCACATTCTGCACATGTTGGCTTCATGTAAAAGGGGTGAATGGTTCGGTTGTATATCATACAGGAACATTGGATCACTGGTTCAAATCTGGACATTCTTGTCTGTCTAAACTGTCCCTATTCAGTTAAAAGCATGAAGCCGGAACACTGCACCCTAAAAGTAAAATTACTGATGCGTTAATGTTTGACTCGTATTAATTAACACATAATATTGTGTTTATACCACTCTGTGCAGAATGTTCTGTTTATAGTGTAACATACTGCATTATACCACATGTTATATAATGCACTTTACTGCTGCTTTTGCACTGGTATTAGATGCTAAACTGCATTTCTTTGTCTTAGTTCTTGTATTGTGTGCAATGACAATGATGTTGGTTCTAATCTAATGTTATCTAATACTTGATCTACTGTGGCTGAGATCGGAGCTCATCAGCACTTTGTTTTGGACAAAATGAATGAAGAGATGTAATTGTAATTTTAATCTCTCTAAAGCTGCTTTGTTTTTCTTTTTTTTGTAATTATTTTTGCATTTTAGCCTCATTAGACAGTGACAGTGGATAAAGACAGGAAATGTGGGGAAGGAGAGTAGGGGAGTGATATACAAATCAGATCTAGTGCTATGTGTCAGCTATCGGCTCGCCCTGTAAATACAAATTTGTTATCAGTGTTTCAGATGTTAATGTGCTGGTTAATTTTAATTCCAGCAATAGATTAGATTATTTTTTAGCTCATTTTATGGTAGTATTTTATAGCCTTGCAAAATGAACAAATGTGAAGTAAACTGTGTCTGAAAAACTGATGCTTGGTTGAATGAAGCCCTCACTAAATGAACCGACTCCATCTGATTAGATGTTGGTGAGTTGGGCAGTCTTCTGTGATGGAATCTGTAAAAGTTCAAAAGCTGGGAAATTATTTATTTTGGATTACAAAAAGCTGTCTATTGTGATGGAGTAATAAGTTGGGAGCTTTATTTTTCCAGCAATCATCACCAGGAGGTGGCACAGCGCAAAGCTTTACTTTCCAACACTGACTTGCATGAATCTGTACATTCTTATGATTTCCGTCAGATCTCTTTTGCTAAATAACAGATGGAGCTGACTGGATTGATGTCTGATAGTTTGACAGAGGATTAACTGATTGTTTCAGGTGGAGGAGGAGCAGATGCTGGAGATGTGGGTGAAGGAGGAGACGTCCGCCACACGGACCAGCGTTCTGGAGAAGTGGACCCGTCTGCAGGGGATGCCGCAGCACCAGGCCATGCTTAAGTACATGAGCATCATTAAGGAGTGGCCTGGTTACGGGTCGACTCTGTTTGATGTGGAGGTGAGGAATAAAGGAGGTAGCATGATGGATTTCAAGGATGCCTACATATAAAATACCTGACAAGCATCTTGCTTTCTCTTCTCTCTGCAGTGTAAAGAGGGCGGCTTCCCTCATGATCTGTGGCTCAGTGTGAGTGCTGACAACGTGTCTGTGTATAAACGAGGTGAACCCAAACCGCTGGAGACCTTCCAGTATGAACACATCACCTTCTTTGGAGCTTCGCAGCCCTGCACCTACAAGATCATCGTGGATGAGAGGGAGATGTTCTTCGAGACTCCACTGGTGAGAGCTCATTGTTGTGTCAGAGGCACAGCCACAATCTGTCTGAGAGTCAACAAGAAAAAAAAAAGAAAGCACAGCTGCACTAAGTGATGTTTGGTTGAGCTTTAAAGCAAGTGCAGCAAAGGCCAGCACAGCTTGATTGAAGTGCAGAGGTCAGGTACCGGTCCAATCAGTGGAGGCCGGAGTCAGGATGAAGGAGAAGTGAGTGAAATATAGGCTGAGTGGGAATCAAGTGCAGGCATCAGTCTGAGACATCGATCTGCACATGCTAATTAACATATAAAAAAAGTGGAAAAAAGTATCCATTTAGTTTTGCCATTGCCTGTCTTTTATTTTGTTGTCTTAATGCAGCAAACAAGTCAACAATAATGCAAATACATCTTCAGTCATGTTACCATTTCGTGAAGTTGTATTTGGCCACTGCTTTTCTTTGGGCTAAATTAAATAATGGCAGGAGAACATGCTTACTATGAAATGTTTACTGTCTTTATCATGTTCATCATTTTAGTTTAGTGCATAAAGATGCCAACATTAGCTAATAATTGCAAAAAACAAGCAGAGGGTGATGAAAATATCAGTAGTTTTGCAAGTATGTAGCCACGAAAAGGAGCATTTCTGACTGACAAATTGACATCACATTCCACAGAGCCATGCCGCTACCACAGCTAACACCTCATCACACATAATAGAGTTGCAAAGTGCTTCACAAGGTAGCGAAATAAAAATCATGCATTCGTCAGCTTTTAAAATACAGATAAATACGTATTTTTGTATTTAAAATCAACCTAGAATTGGAAAAGACAATTCAAAGGAAATTAAAACTTAAGTACATGTTTCAACAGAACTCTGCATACCAGTGGTGTACACTACTAAGAGCTAAGAGATAAAGCTAGAAAGAGAGACCATAAAGGACCTTTAAAGTAATCAGCAAAATCCAAAAATGTATTCTACGGCATGCTGGTAGCCAGTGTAAAGAAGCTAAAGTAGGATCACACTGGTGAAAACACTGCCTGTACATTCTGAAGTCTGGATTTTTTGTTCAAAGGTAAAAATGCTGTTGCAGTAACTGAGGTTTAATAAGATAAAAGTGTGTAAAATGTGTCATATTTTCAAAAATATTTCTATCATAGAAACATGATTTGCAGACATGACATGCACAAACTGATCCTCTTCCGCTCTTTAGGTTGGAGAGATCACCAAGATCATGAGGGCCTACATTAACATGATGGTGAAGAAACGCTGCAGCATCATGTCCGTGACCAGCGTCACCAGTTCCTGGGTCAGGTGATCGCCACCAACCAGCCAGAACGCCTCGGTTCATCCTTCCAGTGGCAACAGACGCCTCGGTCCCCCTCATGCATCGGTCGGTTGGTTTTGAAGACGGCAGTCGCACCAAGCAGCCAATTATCAAGGTTGAATCAAAAGCGATGGATAAGCGTCAGTAAAGAAAACGGGGAAAAGTGGACACAGAAGCCAATCGCACACTCTACTGGCCTGGGTTTCACTTGGGAAATTTAAAAACGAGCATGACAAAGAAATATTTTGGGGCTGTTCCGACAAATACAAAAAAACCCCTCAGCTGTAGTCCTGCATGTAGATGTTCAAGCACACTCCAAAGTTCTCTCCGATTTTCCTTTTTGGACAAACTAAATTTAGTAATAATAAACAAGCACAACTCAGCCACCCAGTCAGTCCCAGCCAGTCCCAGGTGGCTCCTCCACCCCCCAGTGCACTGCCAGACAGAAGAAAGCCACACTTTCTCAGTTAAATTTCTTTTTCTCTCTCTCACTCCTCCTCAGAATTTCAGAGTCTCTCTCTTTCTCTTCATGTATCCTCACTTCCTGTTGCATCATTGTTTGCTATTGCTATTAAGTTTTAATGCTGAATTCTTGTTCTTGCTTGCTTTCTCTCTCTCTGTCGTTCTCTCTCTGTCTTTTATCTGTAACATCGGCTATAATTACATCTGAGAAAAAGGACTCGATGGTGATTCTTCTTCTTGTTCGGGGCCCACGAAAACTACATAGTTGCTCACTCGTCGGTGCCACTGTGTGGCCGCAAGAAGAAAACGCAGCCCAAGGAGGTGGCTTTAAATATTCCTGAACAGTATCCTATAGATATTCTTGAGAAGAAAAGAGTAGAGGGTTTACTTTGGAGGCTCTCTGGTCATGTTCAGCTTGACACAGAGAGTCTGTGCATGGCAAAAGTGTCCCTTGGCTCTACAAGGAGAACAATCCAGAATAGTATCAGACTAAACATGTCCCTATTTATGTCTAGATATAACACATAAATCTGTATATTCACATAACTGAACAAACATGTATCGTTTTGTACTGTATATCACACATTATAATAAGAGTTATTAATGAAATTTTTGGTGGCCACTGCACTGTACAGTATATAGATGCCATACTAAATGCAATGTGACACCTGTCATGTAAAATACATGCAAGTGAGCGGTGTTAAATAATGACCACTGTATGTCTGAATATGATGCCAATACCGTACATCATTCACTGGCTGTGCCATAAATATGACTCACGGAAAAGTATGAGTTCGTAAAAAAAACACAGACCATAAGGAGACCGGCTGCTATCGTGGTCATGTTTTCACAGCGTTTTGAGGAATTTCTCATTGTTGTTATTTGCTGTACTCACTCTGCAGCGTTAATTGGAGCCATAACATACTGTAAATCCTCGTGTGCTCAAGCTAATCTCACTTTTTTTTTTCTTTGCCGAGGAGATCAGGAGATTCAAACAAAAATGCATCCACGCTCCAGTCTGTCTGTGTCTCCAGCCTGTTTATGAAAATGTGACTTTTATTATTACTGATAATATTACTGTATGCCCCCAGCTATCGTTAGCCACCCTGAAGTGCTGTGTCTGGATTGCTGCTGTGTGTGAGTGTGTGTGTGTGAGTGTATTAATGGTGTAATGCTAACTGTTGGAAAAGAAAAGGGAAACGAGAAAAGAGAAGTGATTTTACTGAGTGTATTCCTTGGAAATAAGCTGTATTTACATGACTAACCTTTGCAAAGAATGGTGTTGTAATTGTGAGTTAAAGGCAGGTTAAAAGCATGGGATTGCAGGGGAGGGTTAGGGGTTATTTATTTATTATTGTACTGTATGTATTGCAAGGTCTGTTTGGAAAGATTGAAAATATATACTGGATTTACTTTTTTAGTCTCAGTGTAAGAGGAGCAGATTAGACACTGTGAGGATGTGGGCTTGGACTCTTTAATTGTGCACTTGGAATGCTGGAAGTCATCACTGCTTTGTGTGCGTGCGTGTTTTTGGACTGAAAGTGAAGCAACTGTTCAACTGTCAGCATTACTGGCCTGCAGTTAGACGGCAGCATCCCTCACGTATGACACCTCTAGAGACAAACACTCTGTAAACACAGTGTTTCCCTCGAGACTTCTTAGATAACACGGAAAATTACAGTCCAACATCAGAACACGGTCCAATTAATTGTCTAAACTACCTTCTGTGGCAATAAGAATTTATGCATTTGCCCCGAACGCGGTTATGCTGCTTTTCACGCCAGATATTGAAGTTGAACTTCTTAAGGTGAACTAGTTTATTGTTTATCTGGAGCACCACATACAGAACGGGGCTGTAGCCATGATTTCAGAAACACTGAGGCTGTGAAACCAAGACGGTCAAGGAAACTTTGACCAAACAGAAGTTTTTTAAGCTGTTTTATTCAGGAAAATGCTAAATCTTTTATGCTAATTCAAATATAGCAAGGACAACGCCATTAAATCTGCCTAAATGTACGGTTTTAAATGTAGAATGTAAGCCAGCTTTGCTAAAGTGCCCCAAATTTCTATAAAACAAATTGACCTCAGTGTTTTTAATTGTAGCTTCAGCCTTGACTGCATACACACAACCCGCTGGGATCCTGCCTATAGAAATAGAATAAGCAGAACTCTCTCAGAGGTTCCAGTTTCGCTTTTGGTTTGGGCTAAAATACGTGCAAAACTGGGGGGAAAAAAAGTCAAGTTTATAAGCCATACATAAGGAGGAACCCGGAGCTGTCTGTTCTAGTTATTCTACATCTATGGTTCTGTCTGTCACTGATATTACACTGAGTAAGAAGAACTTGCCCTGTGGTTGCTGAGATGTGATCAGTGGGTTTGCTAAAAGGAAAAAGGTAAATGAGATTTTAAAGCACCTGATCACAAATCTGTCTTCAAGGGCAACTTCATCACGAAGGGTCCTGTTATCAGCCGCAGGCGGCCAGAGTGGGGCCCAACCTTATCTTATGTTATGCTCATTATCATCATTACATAGTAAAACATTGTGCTTGTTAAAAAAAAGGAAAAGGAAAAAAGAGAAAGAGAGAGATATGTGTGTTGTTCTTTTTTATTTGTAACTGGCTTTACAAACTTATGCTTTAATAAATTATTGAAATTGTCCTCTATTTGATGTCACCTTTGTGCACTTATTCTGTGCCTGTAGACAGCGATGAGAGAAGTTTTACTTTAACATTGCACTTAAATCTGCACACGTGGGTTAAATGTAAAGCTGTGGCCAGCAGCTGGTTAGCTCACAAAGAACTATTGTTTTCACATTTTTTCAGCTGTGCAGGTAATTGAGTTGTTTTTACCAATTAGTTCAGCTTTGCACAAAAACAGGGAGAATCAAATAATAGAATATAACTTTAATCCCCCCTACCCAAAGATGAAGTTTTATTCTAATCTTGTTTAATCTTATTAGTTTCAACAAAGGAGATGCAACTTCTTAATTTGTCAGCTTTAGAGGTGTCTTTACACTGACTTTGATTCATTTGGGCAGAGCCAAGCCATGTTACCAGTCCAGCTCTGACCACTCCTTATTTAGTTTACCAGAAATCAAGTATTTAACATGTTGAAATATTCATTTAATGCTATTTTTTCATTTTGTAAAAGCTGGGAGTTTATCACTACATCAAGTACTATGAGAATTGAGCAATTATCCATTTAAGCCACCTGAAAGCTACAAAAACAAAGAGACACTTTTAGAGTAAAATCCTGAAAATTAATAGACATTTTTGTACCAGAATCTCGTTTTTCCTCCTTCTCTCTCTTTAAAACTTTTCTCAGTCCTCAGCCTCATCTTGTGACCCTTTGATGGGTCCCAGCTTAAACAACTAAGCATAAGTAATAATGTTTCGGCTCAGCTAAATAAATAAATAAATAAATAAATAATGCAACAGTTTGCTTTATTCTATTTGAGTCCTGAAAACTTCTTATGCAGTTATGTGGAACTAACAAACAACAGTGAGTTAGAGGAATTTGCTTGTCCTTTACAGCCAAAGCCATGTTAAATTAGCTATCTGAACCATCTGAATATGTCCAGGCATGTTAAGATAGAGGAGGGAAGCTGAAATCCTGAGTTACTGAATTTAGTTATGAATCAACTAACACAGAAGAGTGAGTTTAAATTTCATAAAATATTAAGTTGATGCAATATTATCGTTTAAGATCAACTTATATCTAAATCAGTAAAGTAGATTTTTTTTTATCTTTCAAATATGCTTTTAATTTAGAATTGGAAGCAGGTTCCTTGAACTAGAGTGTTCAGGCTGTTTAGGTGAAACTAGCTGCACATCCACTAAACTGGCCCACTACGCACCAGAATCACAAATCTAACATATATTTAATTATTTATTCCCCACAAAAGTGCTTTTTCTGCAGATTAGGTAGTTGATCTTAAATTAAATTTTGCTGTTGCACGTCTGCACATATTTCAAATAGTGTATTTAGAAGGAAGCAACAGTTCCTGCGCCTCGCCCTCCTTTGTCCGTGTGCGTAATGTGCGTGCGTCAGGACTGTGCGTCTGGTTCCTTCTCGGCAAAGTCAGTTCACGAGTTTGAGCCGGCGCAGCACGGACCAGCCAAAAGATTTCCTCCTCGTGTTTGCGCTTACTTAGGTTTCCCAAATCTTGTAAAGAAAATCAGAGAAACGCCATTTGGAATAATCTGCTTCTCAGCGGCTGGATGATGGAAATACGGATTTTACTGCCTGCTCTGCTTCTCGTCTTCGGTTTGGGGGCAGTTTTCGCTCAGTCTTCCGCACCTGACCAAGGTAGGAATGCAAATATGTGACCGAGGTTTAATGGCAGCAAGAAATCACTTCTTCCTTTCAACTGATCGTTTTTGGCTGCGTCATAATTGGTATTATCTTGATCTATGTAGGTGCGTATATGTAAAGTCCTCACTTATTGTAATGAGACTTTTATTTGGCTCCGGATTAATCTTTGTTTTCTCACTTTGAACAGCAATGTCTTTAAATCATGTCTTTAAGGGCTGATTCATGAGACTTAAAAACTAAACAACAAAAAATGTAGAATTCAACTTTTAATTTTTGGATTTTAAGGATTATTTACACTAAAATAAGTTCTAAAATCTGACTTAAAGGCCCTTTTTTCTTTTTAAGCCTCCAAAGCTAAACATAAAAGCCAGAAAAACTGTGTGTGGCTTTTTTGGTAGCATTGTGTCTCTTCTAGTTTCAAATCTTTGTGTATTGTTGAAATCTCCCAGCAGCAGAACACTGAGTCTCTTTTGAACTCTTTCCTCAGCCCCTCAGGTCCTTAATTGTTTCAGAATAAAGAGACCAGAAGTAGTAGCAGCAGACATGTTGACCACATAAGAAAGAGATGTTGTTTCCAGCAGCATTTCTCAGATACATGGCTGCCCTGACACAAACCCAGCTGTTGTCCTGTGTGTGTCTGCTGATAATAATGTGACTGGTCCACAGCCTGTGTGTTTACTGTATTCTGTCTCCATGGAAAAAGTCCCAGGAGGATTAGTAGTAGTTATAAAAAAAAAAAAAAAAGACCACAGTGAGCACAAACCTGCAGGCCTCATTTAATCTGCTCCTCACTGTTTTCAGCTAATCCCTCCGATATTAAAGTCACTTCCTTGTTCAGCTAAAAAAGAAAATTTGCACCTCAGCTTGACTGAGTTTGCTCCCTTTATTTCCCTCTTTCTGCACTGTTTTAACTGAACTTACTGACTTTTTTTTTCCTGCAGTATGTGAGACGAAAAATGGGACAAGCTGTGAGGAATGTCTGAGAAATGTGTCGGTAAGCCTTTTACTTCTGCTGGGTTGATTTTTTTGTGGGTTTACAATGTGTGTGTGTGTGTGTGTGTGTGTTTGGATGGAACAAGAGGTGTCCCAGGTGGAGGAACCATAGCTCGTGGCTCCTCCTCCGCCTCCACCACCACACCTGTTAGACTGGTTTGAGGAGTAACTGATCGGTCATACATTCTTGCTCTCCCTCTCCATTTTCTGCTCTTTGTCAGTGTGTTTATCATGCTGGGGCATCCTACATTTGTCCTAAATAACTCATTGTTTGTTGAAATAAAAGGCTGATTACGTGTGCTTGTTTGTTTCTCAGTGCTTGTGGTGTATCACAACCAAGTCCTGTGTAACATATCCAGTGAGGACCATCCTCCCACCTCATTCGCTCTGTCCACTGAATGATGCTCGCTGGGGACTCTGCTGGAGTAAGACACACACACAGAATCCCAGCATGTCCACTACAGCCTAAGAGAGTGATTTAAAGATTTGTTTGTGGTGTTTATTTTAGGCATTTTTGTGGAAAGTGTCTTCTTAAAGTCCTACACTTCAGTGCAATTCTTCCATACTGTTACTTGAGTTTCTTTTTGGTGCAGCTTCATCACCTAATTGTGGAGAGAACTAGTAAACAAATCTGTCTAAAATCCTCAAATATATGGCTGCCAGTCAGGATTATTTCAGGATATATTCCCTGTAACTATTAGTCAGGTATACTTAAACACAGTCCTGATATTTTTTTCAACAGGCTGCATTTTTTCTAATATTTGAATAACATTTCTTATCTTAACTAGACAATAATGTGTGATTTTGTGATGTGATTTAAAGACTAGCATCGGCCACTATTCTATTACCAGGTTGTATAAACGCTCAGATAGCAATGAATGACCTCAAAAATCCAGTACAGGTGTCAGGTTCATTATTCCTAAATACCAGCACAGCTGTGTGTTGTGGCCAACATCATGCTCTGCTGTCCACAATCATAAAAGAAAGTGGACTTAAGATAACAAGCAGGCTGCAGCAAAGTGCTGCTTACAGATGCATGTTTTTGTGATTTAACCCACGAAAAGAACCAGTGCGATGTAAAAAAAAAAGAAAAAAAAGTCTCTCTTATTGTACATTGTAGGACGTTGTACATTTGATCTGGGGCTGTTCTTCATTGTTGAGCTAATGCTCCAGCACAGTGACAGCTCACATAATAGCAGTCTTGTGGGAAAGCCCTGTTTTGTTTCCACATGGCAGTGTTGAAAGAACAGACCTCATTCAACGCCTATAAAATGAAGTAGATTTCACATACTGATGCAACATCTTCATATCTACTTTGGACTTTTAGTGTCCTGTGAAATCTTGATACATGGCTTTCTCCTTCAGTGTTTTTATACAGATATTATACATTTAGGTTTTAAAGATCTAAATGTGTCTCTCCTGACTTTTGGCTGTTCCTGTTGGGGGGTCACCACAATGAAACATCCATTTTCATTTCTTCCTGTCCTCTGCATCTTCTTCTATGACCTCAATCACCTGCATGTCCTCTCTTAGCACATTTATAAAGCTCCTCTTTGGCCTTCCTCGTTCCATCTTCAGTATACCTTTCCAATCTGTCCAACATCTCTCCTCCACATGTCCACCTTTTAAAGTTATTCTTCCCTTTTATACTTTGTCCCTGAACCATCCAACCTGACCTGTCGCTCTGATAAACTCATTCCTAATCCTGGCCATCTCTCCCAGTGGGAATCTTAGAATCTTTAGCTGAACTGCCTTCAGCTCCACAGACTGCCCTTTTATCAATTTCAGCCCATAAAGCATAGCTGCTTTCACTACCTTTCCATCACTCTCTTATTATGTCTGGAAAAAAAATGCTGAAATAAAAATAAGAGCTAAGAAAAGGTAGAACATTCATTTTCTATCTTGAATGCAAATCTGTGACTGGTGATTCCTGCATAGCTCACTGACATGTGTTTGTCTGTAGTGAACTTCCAGACGCTGATCATCACGTTGGCAGTGATTGGAGGTGTTATCATCATTGCCCTCCTGGTCTGTCTCTTCTGTTGCTGCAAGTGTGAGAACTTTGGGTGAGTGCACAACAAACTGACAAAACATCCTCCACGGCATCATGACTGTGACATTTTCAAAGAAGATTTTGTTATCTCATCCTGCAGTTTCTTACGAGGCTGAAATAAAAATACACACACTCACAATAACAATGGAATTACAATAAGGGAACCAATTTTGTATATTGACTTCTCTTGTGTGTATTAAAATGGGAACTAGTTCCTTGATTTTGCACATTAATCCTGAGCCCGTCCTTTTCCGTTTCTTGTATATGCACATTATGTTTATTTGTGTCCGCTTCAGTGTGTTTACCTTCAGATGTCTGCACTAGAAGCACACACGATGCACTTTCCCATGAGCTAAATACATCATAATCTGACACTGGTCTTCTGTTTGCATTTCAGATCCAAAAGGTTTGAGGCCAAGATGCAGAGAAAGTCCAATAATTTGAGAACCAAGCAGGAAGAAAGGTGAGCTCTAATGTTATGTGAACACAGTTCCAGCTGAGCTGTCTTCTTCTTCCATGATCATAATAATCTGAACTATGCTGGCTGCAGAACTCCCTCATTTCCAGCTCTGACAGCAATTCAAACAGTAAATTATGAAGTGAAACAACAATTCAGCGCTGAGTCTTCATGACACAGCTTGTCCTTACAGTTTCCACCCTATTGAATAAACAACGGATTAGTCGTCATTTATAACGTTTGTTTGTACAGATTTGCAACAAACAAATGAAATAAAGGGAACTTTGTTGTATATACACTCTTACAATAGTACATTATACAATATATATATATGGGTTCATAATCATCTAAGGGTTCATTTTACCATTCCTTTGTGTTGTAGCTTTCAGACAGTCTCTCAGTAAGTCTTATTATTTGTATTGTATCTGATAGTTTACAGTCTCTGTTTGACTTGACGCACAAGCTGCCCTGTTGCATTGTTGGTCATGATCCATATCAGTTTTCTTCACAGCACAAAGCAGATCAGGGGATAAATACGCACGTCACACTGTTATCAGCCCAAACTGGTTTTTGGCCACGTGACTTCTCAAAGTGTTTGCGAGTCTGAGAAAAATCATTAGTCACTGTGTGGCTCACGTAAGAACATTTTGTCTTTACAGGAAGGCCGAGATGAAACAGAGGCACGACGACATCAGGAAGAAATACGGTGAGCTTTTCCATTTGTCGACACAAATGAATGTACTAACATGGTGCAGCTATTTGTTTCTGTCTCCTAGAGTGTGGACACATGACTTGCATGGAAAATGAATTAATTCTGCAAAATGAGATTAAGCTGTCTTTTTATACTTGGCAAAAGCTCTGAAGGAATAGTTCAGCATTAAGGGAAGTGTGCTTATTTTCTTTCTGCATGAGGGATGAGAAAATTGAGACAGTGTTCATATTTGTATGCAAAATATTATGTTACCCATGCCAGGCGTTTAGCTTAGCTTAGCACAATAACTGAAGACAGAGAGAGAGAGCTGGTCTGACTCTGCCCACAGGTGAGGTTCACCAGTGGTAGAGGAGATGTCTGCTAGATTGTCCTGAGGGTTAAACTAATTTTCTTTATGAATCAAAGTTACTGACTGAATATCCTCTGTGATACATACCAATAGACTAATTCATTTTCTAGTCTGTGTTCTATTAGCTGCAGTACCGGTAGTGTAAAATGGACTTGGCAGCATATCAGGACCATGGATAAAAATAGATCTATGAATTTTCTGCATCATCGACTGAATCCATATAGTTTCCAGTGGCAATGTGATGCATGCAGTTTAGCAACTGCAGCTGCATGAATCAGTTCATTCAGTAGCATTGCTGACAGGTTTGCTGAGAATCTTTATTACTCAGAAAATATGGTCAGGAAAAGAAAATGGTGAAAGTTTGGTGCTTCTTGTGGCCATTTTGAATCCCAAACTCTGAACAGACTTTTGTAAATATGTACAACAAAATGTAACATGCTATTGAGTTATCGGGTTTCTGGATGGCGGATTTTGTTACCATCATATGGAGCAATGCCGGCTGTTTCTTGGTGTTTGCAGTCAATATGCTATGCTATGCTATGCTATGCTAAGCTAGCCGTCTCCTGGCTCTAGCTGCATATTTACAGTGCCTATTAAAAAATATATTACTCCACCCCAAAAAATTACCTTCCTGGCCGTTAGACTGGACACTACGCTTGGCAATAACTGCACATTATTGCTAGCACACAATCCGCACTATGAAGCATGGTGGTGGCAGCATCATAATGTAAGGATGCTTCTTGGCAGCCGGCCCTGGAAACCTCGTAAAGGTTGATGAAAAAGCAAATGCAGTCTGCAAGAGAAGTGTGACTTGGGAGAAGATTTGTTTTCCAGGAAGGCAATGACCCAAAAGCTACAGAAAAGCTGGCAGAAATGGTTTAAAAATAACATGGAGAATGTTGGAGAGTGACCGAGTCAGAGTTCAGACCTCAGTTTAATTGAAAATTTGGGCCTGGACTTGAACAGGCTGATTCTTCATGATCCTGCACAGTATTGATCTTCTCATCTAACTCCAAGAAAAAAAAGTGCATTTCCCAAAATGTTGAGCTATTCCTTTAAATCAATACACTGTTTCACTGAATGTTTAATGTTCTCTAGGTCTAAGCGGGCAAAATCCATACTCCAGATTTGCCTGAGAACATCTGTAAGCTGAGATTTTACGTCACGGACACTCAGAAGAACCACAGACATCTGGAGCCTGTCTGTCTTTGGCTTCTGAGAACTGACATCACCTAAGAATTAATGTAAACTATGAGACAGTTTCAGAAAAGTGATTAGTAGTTTTGTGTAGGCAGCCTCCAGAGTCATTCAGCCAATGAACAGGTCCGTTCAAAGAATGCTGCTTTTACTGTTCTGTCCCAAGAGGCTGCAACCAGAGACTAGAATAGACACGTAGCCACAATGCTCCTTAAAACTATAGCAGTCTATTCTGTGACTCCCATCGCATCAATCTACTGTTACTATTTATTATCTTAAGTTGAACTGTACAGAATAGAAAGAGTCCAGTTTGGTTGCTGAACAATTCTTTCTTTTTGCTGAAGAAAATCTGTTGCAAATGTTCAGATTGCTCCTCTGTGTTGCTGCTAAGTGTAGAGATCTGCTTAGAGATTCTATTGTATTTTTGTATTCTGTGTGATTTTTTCTTGTTATAAGTGGACTTATTCCCATTTTAAAACATGATATTTTTATTGCGTCATTGCTGCACTTTTCAGTGACAGGAATGTGTCAGCAAAATATGTCCACACTAAAAGTTTAAAATAGTCTTTACCTTGTTCCTGAATGTATGAAGTAATCCTTAAATCAATTGGAATGTTTTGGTTCTAAAGTTGGATTGAAGTCAGTTTGATTGTTTTATTGCTTTTATAATCTGTAAAGACATTTAGTCCTAATAAAAGACTTTGGATGAAGAATTCATTTTGCTTGTAGACGCTCTGTGTTGTCTGTATCGTGTATCCAGCATTGTGTCTTCATTATTGCCTCTCTTTTCTGTTGCACAGCATGTCGGTGTCTCAATTAACAACAAATCAAACATCTCAGATTAAAAGATTAAACAATGTCAATGCTTGACAAATTAAAAGAAAATCTCCTGTCAATGATGGATTACTGAATTTTATCAAATATTTGACTATTGAATTGCCTTGATTTTTGTAATCAGTCATTTGATAGTAAGAAAGCAACTGAAGGAGAACAGGCAACCTGTTATTGCACGGAGCCAAAATACAAACAGCATGCAGATGGTTTTTTTTTTCTGACTTGGAGAAAGTTACTTCTATTGTTCTGGTTAGAAGTGGGGCACATTCAGCCAATTGTGCACTAAAAACTTACTAGCTGTACAAATTCCCAGCCACACCCTTGCCAGGTGTGGCTTTAAAAGACAGTGATTAGATAACGAGAAAGGTGCACAGACGCTCCGCGACCATAAAAGTCTTACCGTGCAACTTCATTCAGATGACACGATGCCACTTGACAAGAGAAGCACAAGAACCGGCTGTTGGCATGCTGGATGCTGGCAGGTCAATTAGGGCAGTAGCCAAACACTGAGACGTCACAACTCCATCATTTGTTGTAAAATAAATTGTGTCACGCAGCTCCGGCTGAACTTTAATGACAACATAAACCTGTGTCAGAAAATGTCAACCAACTTCACCGAGCTTTTCAAGAAGAGCAGGACAACATTCCACCGGCAGCATCAACAACTTCATTAACTCTTTGTTATAGATGTGTGACTCATTACTGACTCGTGATTTCTGGTCTGTGGCTTCACTCTCCATCTGATCATTATTTCCAATATAATGCGTACTTGGTTTTTTCATGACAGCCATTCTGTTGTAGAGACGCTGTGTGTCTGAACAACTAATACTTATTCTCCTCTGTAGAAACAAAGAGCTAGAATTTGATAAAATATTACATGCTGCATTCATATTGTTGTGTAGTGAAGCAAAACATCACAACTGTCTTCATTTTTATTGTGTTTACATGGGTTGATGTGATTGAAGATTAATTCTAGTAAGGTTTTTTACATTTTTGATGTGATTCAACTCAATTTCTAACGCACACTTTACATGTGTTTGGTGTTGGACAATACTTCCTTCTATAAAAGATTACACACTACAGAAGCTGGAGTTGCTCTTTTAAAGTACCTTTTAAAGTCAAGGTCCCAGTTTTATGTGGGGAGATCTTATACAAGGTTGTCCATTGCTCCTTTTTGGTTCGTACCACAAGTAAGGACACCACATATTCAGGCAGACTGAGTCAAATGTATTCAGATTTTTGAAAACAAAAGTAAAATTCTATCAGCTTTTACACATTTTTTGGACAATAGAGCTGCAGCATTTAAACAATTATAGAGTCAGCTATTAAATTAATAACCAACTATTCACTGGTAATACATTGGTGTCATTTTAAAAGAAATGTATAGTTTCTAAAATCATACATTTTCAGGTTTTTCAAATGTACTTACTCCTCTACAACAGTAGAACAACTATTGTTTAGTTGTGAATAAAACAAAATATTTTAGGATGTCATTTTGGGCTTTGGGGAACAGTGATTGACATTTTTCACAGTTTTCTGACGTTGTATAAAGAAAAGCAAATGACTGATTAATAGAGAAAAAAAATCTGCAGATTAACCAACACTGGAAATTGTTATTTGCAGCCAAAAGAGATTTCTCAGAAGTGTCAGAAACTGAATGATAAAATATGGAAATGACCTCAAACAGGAGTGTTTTCTGGTTTCCTTACTCCTCTATGACAATAAACCAAAAGTATTTGTGTTGTGGACAAAACATTGAAGGACGTACGCTTTGGCTTTGGAGAATGCTGATTGACATTTTTCACCATTTTTCTGACATTCTATAAAGAACAGCTAATCTATTTAACAAAAATGCAAGCAGCATGTTAATTATCAATTAAAATAATTGTTAGTTACAGCTCAAGGTCTCCAAGAGTTGTCATTTGCTTAAAATGAATGATAATGTAATAAAAAATTTCCTCAAATAATGGTTCAAAATGTGTTTGTTTTTTCTTCCTTTTTTAAACAATATAGTTTAAAAACGTAAATTGCTTCTTAACTTGTCTGTTTGGGTTCTGTGTGTATTATCTCTTCATTAAATAAATGTGCTAAAGTGTGAAAACATGTATTTCTGTTTGGTCTAGAAGTGTCTGGATGTGACTGCATACATTCACATACTGACTGTCACGTGTCTGCGTGTTTTACTTACAGGTGGCTTATTGCGCAGTTTCCATTGTATGCGCATTTAGAAGTACAGATCCTGTGCTACCTTTAGGTTGTTCAGTTCGCGTGATCGAGGATTTTGCATAGATGCGCGCTCCCGCATCCGCGCTCCCGCGATTTAGGAACCACGTGGTGTCGTGAGAACCAATCGTTTATTTGCAACAGCGGTTGAAAGCGCGCACCCGTCAGTGGGGGAGAAGAGAGGACAGAAGGCGGCAGAAAGACAAATAAAGCGCAATTAACTGATTAATCTGAAAACCGTAACACGAAATCCAGCCGAGATGTCAGAGGAAAAGCCAAAGGTAAGATTTTATGGCTTAAACAGCGGCTTATTTGCAATGATGGCTCAGTCGAGTTCCTGCGAAACCGTTTCTCAGATGTGCAATCGAAAATGGCCTGGTTTGCACGTTTCTCCAATTCGGCGCAGTGTTTGTTTCGCAAATGAATGAGTGTCCGCACATTCATCTTTACGTTTATAAGCGCTTCAGCTGCACACCGCAGACGGAGACCCGACAGATGTTGTCCTACCGACGAGGGTTTCGAAGGTTGTGAGCAGAAATATCAATTACACCATGATTGTCATTTGCGGATTTTTTTTTCTTTGTCGAAACGGGACCACGCTATGTCCGTAACGCCGCAAATGCCGCAACTGCAGCAGCGGCAAAAGAGCGCAAACGAAGGTGACGCACTCATTTAAAAACAGTGTAGACGATATATTTTTGTTGTTATTTTTGTCGTACCGGTGTTTGTTTGACCACAGTACAACAAAACAACACTGCTAGCAGCGTTAGCCGGCAGCTAAACTCACCATCGGTGCTGATAGCTGGCGTGCCTACCACTAACCCTGGAGCTAATCATGCTAGCGTTAGCATCTGTGACTGCCCGGCGAGCAGCATATTGTAACCTACCTGTTTTTTCTGCCCAGTGTACGTGTAGTTCCCCTAAAGTATATCCTTAATAGTGTAGCATTATTACTTATCTACCTTACTAAACGTTCGTTTTAGAGTTGGACACTGTATGTAGCTTGCAGCTTGGTAACCATCTTGGTTTTGGTACGTTTTAGCTAGCAGTACTGCTAACCTGTAAACACATAGCTGTAATGTGTGCTGTGTATTTGTGTTGTGCTTGTTGTTAACCTGCTGCTTTATCTTGTTGTGTCCGTAGGAGGGAGTAAAGACTGAGAATGATCACATCAACCTGAAGGTTGCAGGGCAAGATGGGTCAGTGGTCCAGTTCAAAATCAAAAGACACACACCGCTCAGCAAACTAATGAAGGCATACTGCGAACGACAGGTGAGCTTAAAATCTAAATGACTGCTTTCACAATCCTCCTCCAACATGTAATTACTTCAGACTTGGAGTAATACCTGCTCCTGCGTCTGTATTAGTTGCACACTTCAGTTTGCTATTCCTGTACCAACAGTTCTTTGCATGTTGTCCTTCCTCCCCCACAGGGTCTCTCAATAAGGCAGATCAGGTTCAGGTTTGATGGCCAGCCTATCAATGAGACGGATACACCTGCACAGGTATGTTATTATCCTCTACTCAGCCATATATTTTTTGAAAACCTCATTGAAATGATTTTCCTACATGATGACAACACACAGTTCAGACATTCTGGATCGACTTGCATCGTTTACTTTCCTATATTTTCATCCTTGTGTCATTTTGCTGAGTTGATTATTGCTCGTTTTCACTGAATATTAATCTTTTCCTCTATTTTTCTCAGCTGGAGATGGAAGACGAAGACACCATAGATGTTTTCCAGCAGCAGACAGGCGGGCACTGCTAAGCCCTACCCACCTCATTGACAGCCACCCTCAGACCACGCCCTCAACCACCATCACTGTCCCTCCCTTCCCCTTTGCTCCTCTCAACCTATTATTATTATTAATTATTATTATTATATTATTTCTTCAGTTTAAATATGTCTGTCATGGTTTTTTGCCAGGTGTGTGGGGGGGGAGGGGGGCTCCTCAGCTGTTTATGTACTGTCCCAGTCAGGACTGAACTTTTGTGTGTGTCAACAGTCTCTCTGCTGGCCAATCAGGACAACGTTTTCTTTCTGGCACCGCAGGCTGTGATCGGACCAACAGCACCTCACGGCTGTTCCTGGTTTGTCACTGCTTCTCGTTCACTGTCCAGTGAAAGCTTAGTATCCAGTAGTTTGTCACGGTTTTCATCCATCGGGGTTGAATGTGAGGCTCTGCAAGTTTCTGTCCAGGGGTCACAGTCAGTGGGCATGAAAATGTTTTGAAGTGGAAGCGCTATTCGAACTTAATACACACCTGCTTTCCATTTCACTTTGCGTTCTTGTGTGTGTTTTGTTTTCGTCTGCATTTCTGTCAAAAATGTATTATAATTCTCTTCGCATTTTAGGTGCTTCCGCTGTTTTTTGTATTTTTTTTTTTTTTTTGTCTTTTATTTTAAGAATTAACACCCATCGGGCTTGTTGATTTGTAGTTGTTTTTTTTGGATTTTTTTCCTCCTTCTGTACAGAAGTATCAGAATGGGTGTTAGATAAATGTTGTGGGGCTTGGACCAATCCTCCAAAGACCGAACTTTTGCTTCATATTTGATGTACTTCTCTATAAACGCAAACTGCAAGGTCAAAACTGTCAAATTTAAAGGCATTTGTATTGCATCAATGTTATTTGCTTCCTCTTCTATTTGCTCATGGAGAAAAATGCTTGTCTAGGGGAGATAATTAATTTATACCATTAAGGTGCGTCCTTGGTAGGAGTTGGTCGGGGTTTGGCTGCCCAAGGATAGTCTCTTGACATGGAATGCATAACTTTTCTTTTCTCTCTCTCTCTCTCTCTCTCTCTTTCTCTCTTCCAATGAAGTGGGCCAGTGACCAGTCCCTATGGTGTTCCTACAAGCAGTTCTGCTTGTGGTAGAGGGTGGGCTGTGGGTGGGAATAATTGAAGGGTAGTTCCTTCATGCTGTTTTGGGGTCAGCTGTCTCTGTATCGTCCTTACGCATGTTGGCTGATGGGGCAACTGATTCTAAATGTGCTTTTAAGAGGAGCGCCTTCCAGTTTGAGAAAGGATATCCAACAAAAGTCAGTATGTTTTTTTTTGTTAACACACATTGAAGACACTTTTCCCTGCTTTGTCAGCGACTGAGATATTGTTTGCTGGTGAGTGTTTAAGAAAAACGTGCTTCGAACATGTTTTTACTGCAGTGTTACAGTGGAGATATCTCTGGTGGTGAAGAGTGTCTTCACTATTTTACATTTCGGAGAGCGGCGCATGCAGTTTGTTGCATATCAGGAGGGCAGGAAGGTCAGCCAATGGAGTTTGGGAGATAAGTGTTCTCTACCCACAGGGCCCCGCTCTTTGTACGTGGGTAACAAAAGTTGGCTTTGATTGTTTATGGTCTGGCATGAGCGTGAATTATTTTATTAATTTCAATTCAGTCAGGATTAAAATGTGTGTTGTCGAAGCAACTAGTCACCTGCAAAACTGCAAGCTTCCTTAGAGTTGAATCAGTGACGGCCATTTTAAGCTTGTTAAAACGGCCGTCAGAAAAGGCTGCACCTTTCTATGCAGGCACCGGTTGATCAGTATTATTGTAACTGAACAGGCTTAAAGTTAAAATACATGGCAACAAAATACAACAGATGCAGTTTCTAAAATGAAAAATCTTCATAGGTTCCCCGAAAGAAAGGTGCTGACCTTCTTTTTTTAAGTAACTAAACTGTAGTCCACGTGTTTCATCTGTATTTTTGTATGCGTTCTGTAAAGTAGTCAGGAGTCGATGCAAGTACCCACACATTTTTTTCAACGAGTATACACCCATAAAATGCCCTCTGCTTTTTAAAGTATTCATTCTGCTGTTGACCAATGAAAAGAAATTTCATCCGACCTCCCCCGCAGCTCATCCTTCAGTCACTAACAAGCATTTGTCAAACTTGTGTGGTACAGAGACATGTTAAGTCTGCGTGTGACATGCCTCTGCACAAGCCAAATCACAAGCAATGCTTCTGATTCCAGCTTTCCTCACACAAAATAAGAGCACAGTTATCAACAAATCAGCCTTCCACTTGCATTTTAAGAACCGAGTTAGCTGGACAAAGATCTTTTTGGCTGTCAGCTGAACTAAACTGTAACGTATGAAGAACGGGGCCCAGGTCTTGTCATGTTATTTGTTTCTCTACTGATTTGTACATTATTTGTGGTCTTTTACTACTGTATACAATAAATATAGTTTGGTACTCAGATCTGCTGTCACAAGCTTCGTTATTTTGTGTTTTCAAAAGATGGTAAAAGCTGAAATATTTATTTTTCAGGTTTTACAATGAGAACTTTTTTATTTTTAAGGCATGTTAACGGCCTCAACGATTCTACAGAACTTACAACTTAGACTATTTCCTTGATGGGGTTTTATAGATGTCAGTGATTCTGTAGTCATCTTACATGTTGAGGCACATTTGTTGTGCAACAGCTGAACATGTACAAGTGGTTTTCCAATCATTCAATCTTGCTACTGCCTTATACTTTTTAAAATTTTATTTATTGTTTTTGCTGTTAGAACATGGATATTGTTCGATTATATTTCGTTGGTATGTGTCGTTGCTTTTCTAAGACACGATTTTAGGTCACACTGGGGCTCTGTCTGCTAAAAATGAATCCAACAACGACATGCAGGCTAGAGATGGACACTAGATGGTGCCACTGAACCAGGTGTCTGTTGGGTTCAGTTGAGTCAAAAAATAGACAATATGACATTAAACGTGAATATGCAGCAACACAGGACTGAAAATTAGCTGTAAAAAGAGGAATGCATGAAACACAAGTATGGCAGTGGATTAAAAAACCCACTAAAATTGATTCTGTTGTGATCCTGAAGCCGCCTTTACGCTTAAGCAGACCTCCAACCAAGTGTGATTATCGTTTCAAACAGTTTTAACTTCAGGGCACTCTTTATCAGCCAAGTCCTAATTTAGAACCCTAGATATCATCTGATAATCCGACTGAATGGTTGCATTCAGTGCAGCTGGAACAGTGATAAGGTTAACAGCAGTGGTTGATGAGTCAAACCAGGAATAAGGAAAACCATGCTCGAGTGGACAATTTACATTAACCTCTCTGCATCTAAACAGACCCAGGAGTGTCACGGTCATTGCGGGTCATGGCTGGCAGGAAGAAAGATTCATGAATGGATAAAGAAGAGAGCGGAGCGGAGCTGATATCTCGCATCCGGATCTATGTGCCGTCTATGATCTTATAAGGCATTTGCCTTGTAAATGTATTGGTCAGTGGATGGGAGGATTCTGAGAGATCTGACACAAGCCGAAATGCCGCTGCCCTTCATCAGCATCTATAGAGACCATCAATCCATGACCAAGTAGATTTTAGAAAATCATTCTATAAAGCTGTTGGCTGGCTCGACAGTTAAAACCCTTTTTGTAGAGAATTTACAGACTCAAAGATTTCGTACACTCCTCTGTGAGAGAGCGCAAGCAATTTAAAATAAATGCAAATACAGTTTGCAAATACTGCTCCACCAAGGCTCTCTTCGTACTTTTAGTCCATTGTGTTGTTCGCCTAATTTAAAACAAATAGTTAAGTCTATTTGGTTTTTGTCCTGAGACTTAATTGCATTTTCAATAAGTAATATTTGCACAACTTTTAGGAGAACATCCAAGTTTAAGACTTTAATATGACAGCTGGGTTTGTGCACATACCATGGTTTCTCAGGTAATAAACTGAGGGATAACTGCTAATATGATAAAAGCTCAGCTCATATCCATCTGTGCATTAGTGGACCAAAGGTCACATATGTTCTGTTGTTGCTTTTTAGTTGCCTTTTAATTAAAAAAAGAAAAGACATTGAGTAAGCCTTTTGACAGATATCCTCTATACAGTCACATTGTGATATTGTGTCTGACTGCGTGTCTGTCAGTGTGTGTGTTTTAAATGAGTGTGTACACACACAGAGTGGAGCAGCTCACCCCTCTGGCAGGTCTGTGTCATCAGATTTGTGGTTAAGGGTGGATGAATGACAGGCTGGTTAGTGATTTGCATGGCTCCGGTGTTTAAAAGGAGCTGCAGGTGCAGGATTCTCCACACAGATGAATGGATTTCTCTCGAAGTACAGATGCTCTGGGACTTTAAACTTTTACTTTTTAAGTACATGTGAATCTTAGGTAGCCTGTGTAGCTTTGCCAACTTTCAACAGAGTTTGTTGACTGAAGATTTTTCTTTGGAATTGAAAATTCTCACTGGGATCAGTATGAAGAACGTACAGTTTTTAGGGGTGGATAACCACTTAAGATAAAAGCGATATCTAGAAGAATACCTTCAACATGGAGCCATTCTTACCAGCCGGCAACTGAACCAAACAGACTTTTTGCAATGTCCACGCTGATACTAGTGCAGCTTCTTCTCCTGGGGTTAAAGGTCACTGACACCACCAAAGAAACATGGAGACAGTGTGCAGGTATTCTCGCTTTTTATTCCATGTTGTTTATCCCAACCTCAGCTCTATGCTCCATTACCTCAGCTCCGCTCAACACATGTAATATTCAGTTAATGATTATCCAGGGAATGGTTTATGGTTTCATCTAAAACCTGGGAAACCCCTCCAGCTAAAATTCTTTCGTATAATTCCAACTGTCTGCGTCTAGTGCAGTGGGAGTGCTGCTGTGTGTAGATGTGCGTGCCATATTAACTTAAATTAACATCCACAAACAAGTACAGACATTGGATGTGGCTGGGATTCCACAACGATTCTATGCACATCAGAATATCGAGAGGAACAGGGTGAATGTTTGTGTGATGTCTCATCAATTTGTGAGTATTTCTTTTCCATTTGTTTCCCTTTCAAAAGAGTGTATAGAGTTTCTTTTAATTTAACAACGATTCCACCGAACCTCAGAAAGCTCCACCACCACCTCGGGCTATTTCTCGCAAAAGGGTGGGGTAGGGGAGGATTAATTAATTTATGAGTTTATAACCGTGGTTCCCAACCTTTTCAACTTGTGTCTCCTTAAAACAAAGCAATGGTTGCATTTAAAACAATGAGTTCAACATGTGTTCAGATCCTTCACCAACGTAAAAGTACTGATACCGCATTTTAAAAAAGGTCGATGACAAGTTAAAGTCTTGCATTAGAATGTTGCTAAAGTGAAATTATACTTACGTATAATGAGAAAAACGCATTTTAAATGCAACAAAGCAAAATTACTCAATACAGCAGATGGGTTGGGCAACTTATTCTACTAGATGTTATGTGACTCAGGGTATTAATTATCAATATATATGCCAATCTATTTTACATTGGCTGACTAATCTTTCTAGCTTTATTCATATAGACTTTTAGGTAGCTTTATTTATTACAAAGCAACATATTTTCTAACTTATTGTTATGTTTTGTAGTAAAAGTGGAGTAAAAGTATGAAGTAGCAAGAAAATAAAATACTCAAGTAAAGTACAAATGCCTTGTAATTGTTTCATCACAGCCTGAGAGACTTTACTTCTTCCAGTTGTTTAGTTTGACTGCATTTTACAAACATGTAAGCACAAAGCAACTTTGCCATCTCATAAATCATGTCAGGATCCCCTCAGATTCGTTATGCAAATGTATTGGGGGTCCCAGCCTCAGGTTAGGAACCACTGAGTTACAGTGGAGCAAATGAGCATCACTTAAGCCTTTTTATTTGCTTATTGTGCTCAGATTTGGTTCCCCTGGATCTTCTGTCTTTTGTCCTCGAGCGGGACACCTCCAAACTGGCACCGGGGCTGCACATAAAGGAGGTCGCTGGGCAGAGGGGCGTTCACTTCTCCAGCCCTGATTCCTCCATGAGCTTTCCTTCCTCCCAGCTGCTGGTGAACTGTGACCTCTTTCCCAAAGGATTCTCCGTTGTTGTGACATTAAGAGTCGCCCGCAATGCACCCAAGGTGAGCATCTGACAGAAACAAGCAGGTGATTGTTAGAGTGCTATAAAACTCTGTTACAGGTAAAATTATTGCATTAGAAGATTTATTTAAATAAAATAAATGAATTAATACCACTTAAAAATAGTGATTGTGGAATTTGGATTACTGATGTGCAATGTTGCTTACATGTAAACATTTTAATGTTGTATGTGGTTGAAGTGGACTTAATTTGACCTTGTTTTAATATATATTTTGATTTAGTATAATTTACTAAATAACAATGCATTGCAATTGACATAAATACAGTGAACTGAATGGTACAATATTCGCCTTGCCTGAATGAAAGTAATAAAAAGTTGAAACACTCAAAGTACATCAAAACTGTATTTAGGTACCACATTTGAGTGAGTGTACTTTCCATGACTGGCAGTGTGCCCTAATGTGTTTCCTGTTTGTCTCAGAGAAGTGAATACGTTTTTTCCGTGATGGAGCCAAAAAATGTACAGAAAAGAGCCGTGGAGAAGAGGGAAGAGGACGGAGGGGCTTCTTTGGAAAGAAATAAAGAGAAAAGTATCAGTGGAGAAGAGCAACAAAGGGAGAAGAAGCGAATCGGGAGTGATGAGCAACAAGGACGAATCATTCTCGGACTGAAGTTGTCAAAAAAGCGTCTGCACTTTGTTTTCAAAGGTCACGCAGGGGTTATAAAGCACTGGGTGTTTCGAGGCATCCAGCTGGCCGATAACCAGTGGCACACCCTAGTTTTAGCTGTTGGTAGTCATCACGTGAGGCTCACGGTGGACTGCAACTCACCACTGGAAATGTAAGCTTTGTTTTTTGTTTTTTTTTTTGTTGAAAAGATTTTCTCTCTGGCGTCTCCCCTCTTCTCTGTTGTTCACTGGGTGGGTTCGCTGTCTGTCTCCCATCATCCTCTCTTCCTGTTCCCCTGAATTCCCTCGAGGCATAGTAGATCCCTCACCACAATAAAATGGTACAGCTCCAAATCTGCTCACAGCCCGCAGCCATATCATAGTAGCCTGACAGTGTGTGATAGATGTTTTTTAGTGGAAACTCCCTCTGGCGCACAGAAGGGAGGAATATCAACACCCACATAGTACTTAAATATGTAATACTATTCATGTCATGTGTTTTCCTGTCTCTGTCCCAAATGGAGAAAAACAGAGGAGACTACTTTAATTACAAAGAATTTAGTTCGTTTACAGAAGCAAAACAACTTACTTCAGCTATTAGAAATAATTATATGTATCTTTTATGGCAAACAGTGTTCCCTCCGGGCCTTTCCCTTCAGACCTCAACATTCAGGGATCTAGATTCCACATTGGCAGTCGAGGGAGATGGAAAGGCTTGTTTTCAGTAAGTTGTATTTATATATATCAAACTGTAATGATAATACAGAAACACCTCACACTAGCTGATAATGATTATCTCATCTGCTGCCCCATAATCAGGGTTTGCTGCGACAGCTGGTTTTGGTGCCCGGTTCGGACGCCACGCATCAAATCTGCCCCTCCTCTGACCCCCAGCTAGCAGCTCTGTCGGTACCACCACTTCTCTTCGACCTGCCTGTCGTAAGGAGGGAGGGTGATAGACATGTGACTTCCTACGGTAACTTGAACATGCAATTCACTTGAGATTTGATATGATGTAAACAAGAAGCCCGTCCCTCTGATTGCTATGTGTTTGATATGATTTGTCAGAGAATGAAGAGCGAGTGTCAGTGGGGTTGGAGAGGTCGTGCTCTGAGCTGCTACGAGGCCAGCTGTGGTTCAATCCGCTCAAAAAAGGCCTCTACCTCTGCGACGGCACAATGTGGATCACTGTGTTAGAGGGTGAGAATCCGACATCCACTTTCCTGAGCAAGTTTCTGTTCTCCTTAGCGCAACAAGTGACAAAATAATCCTCACCTTTCCATCAACGCAGATCATAAAAGGCTGGACTATGTGTTGGAACACCAGGTGCTCACCACCAGCTCAGAGACACACGATGTAGAGGTATTTATCCGCTTTTGGGTATTTGCTGCGCCTCATACACCTTCTATTTTCACTACACAAAAGAAGATAATTATCTTACTTTTGAGGAATTTGTATTTCTCAAGACCAGAGGTGCCAACCTAAGGGCAGGGACCTCCCATATAGCTACACAAAACTTGTCTTGTGAAATACTTGGTAGTGTAGTTTTACCTCTTTAGGCTTTGAAATATGAAAGGTGATAAGGAGTCACAAAGAGAAACTGCCCCGTGTCAAACAAAAATTTGGCTGGTAATCATTGTTTTACACACAACGCTTACGTTTGTCCTTATTGTTCTCTCTTTTATTTGACATTTCCTACAAGTAAAGCTGATATTTTAATTTTTACCACCTTCTGACAGTTTGGTTTCATCTGTTCACCAGGTGTTCCAGGTACCTGGCATAGGTCTGATGGCTGCTATGGCTCACCGGTCCACATCCTTTGGCTCTGCTGTGTATCTGTGGACCCGCACAGGTTTCCAGCTCTACCAGAACATCAGCACGTATGGAGCACTGGCTTGGAGACATTTCAGCATGGGCAAGAAGGTATGAAACAGACGACTGGTAGAGATCACATTTCCTTCTTAATAGCAGCTCTGAAGCCCCTACGTGTTGCTGTTTTGATGCAGATGTTTCTGGTGGTGTCTAACTCCGGCGGAGGGCCAGACAAGCAATTCAGCAGTGAGTCAGACTACTCTGTGATTTACAAGTGGAGCAAAAGAAGAAAGCAGTTTGTGCATTTCCAGACTCTGCAGACCCACTGTGCTCGAGACTGGGAGGCATTTAGCATCCATCGACATACCTACCTTGCTGTGGCCAATCACAGACAAGGTAAAAATATACATTAAGTGGCATTGCATGGCATGGCATCTGCAAAACTACATAATACTAAACTACTGTGTTGCGCTCTCTCTTACTGGTTTGTCTTTCAGGAAACAATAATCACACCATCAACAGTGTGATATACAAGTGGAACGGATTAACAAAGTCTTTTGAGGTTCACCAGTTGCTGCGGACTTCAGGGGCCTACGACTGGGAGTTCTTCACTGTTGGACCATACCATTTCCTGGTGGTTGCAAATGCTTTTGATGGAGTGACCACTTCTGTAGACTCTGTTATCTATGTTTGGATCAATGGAAGCTTCCAGGTGTTCCAGACAATTAAGGTTTGTAATAAAATGAGATTTATAAATGGCCTAGAGAAGCTGCTATATTAAGACCAGGAAGACTTTCACATCACTCCCTTCATTCAGTTTCAAAAACAGCAGTTTGCAATACACCACAGCTCTGGAGGCTGCGTGAACATGGGTGAAAATTAGACTTAATTGCACTTTAAGGTATCGTTTTGATGCATGATTTCCATACCATTCATCTTCTCTCCAGCTGGGCTTTGATTTCCTCTGATGAGATCTGTATCTCTGAAATGATTATGAAAAACTATCTTGTCTGTACACAGAGAATGGAGGGAATACAAACGGGGAAAAGATAAAAGGCTCATGGGAGAGAGATGAGGGAGCGAGGAACAGGCTTGTCCACGCATTTAAGGCAGAGGCCAAAAATAGACTGTGTGGTTTGCCATGATTTGCTTGAGCGATAACATTGCTTTGACATGTAACTGATAACAAATCGTATATTTGAATCTGGCAACATTTGATGTGAGAGTGTTGACACATTGATAGTCACGTGAGAAAACCTGAGGAGGTGTGTGATTTAGGGAAACTCCACAGATGGATGTGAGGGTTCTAAAGAACACCTTGGGGGCTAGTGGAAATTAATAACCTGAAATCATACAGAAAGGGTGAAAATACATATTTTGACATGTTTTTAGCTATTCTAACTGTCTGGGATTATTAATATCAGATATCATACAGACATTTGTGGTCTCCAGAGGATGACACCTACTGACTTTCCTTCTACTGCCACTATGGAGTTGACACGTTGACATGTCTCGGCAACTTTTGGACAGATTATCATGAACTTTTGAAAGTAACTTTGGTGACCCATTGACCCAAGCACCAGTCTCAGTAAAAATACTTCACTTCTTGATTGCTGCAAAGTAGAGATATTAGAGAGTTCCCAGATTTTGTACCCAAATGAATGATGACACCCTGACTTTTCATCAAGAACCGTCAAAGTTAATAAAACCAAAACTTTTCCCACATCCTCAGCTACAGACAAGTGAAAGGAAAAACCAACGTAACGTATTTTAATAAGGTGTTGAGTCACCACATACCACCAGAACAGCTTCGTACGGTGACTGTGAAGGCCGTAACACATGATTCACATCATTTTCTGACTCGAATTGTTTAGTGACCCCTGTGCCCTACGGACATTGCCGTTCTAGAGGAGTCCACTCCCTTCAGGATAGAACTATTTCATCATAGGAAAACAGTGATCACTCAGAACAACTCAGGACTGATTTGCAGTGACACTTTCCTCTAAGGGGACAAGTAGACCCAAACCATGCCAACACGTTGCCCCCAACCACATGACAGAGCCACTGGATCCCGTCATTGTCGGGGGTCAAGCACTCATGCTTTTCTTACTGTCTGTATGAGTTACTTACTTTTTAAAGTTCTAACCAGCATACTAAATGAAGATGGTTCCCGTGGACTATGCATCGTTGATATGAGCATGTTAGTATGTACTTTTAAGTGTTAACTATCCTAAGCAGAGCCGTACAGAGCTGCAAATCGGGCTGTAGACATTTAGGGTTGGGTAGTTTTATCTAATTACATGCAATCGGGATTATGAAATGACATTACAGAAAATAAGTATAGATAATCAGCCCTAATTACATTTTTAAAAAATGTGCAATTAGCTTATTGTTGCATTGTCAAAGCTTACTTGATTACAGGAGGACTTTGCTCTTGTTACGCAAATGGAACACTTACAAAATCCATGTTTCATTTTCTATGTGAATGACAGGAAATAAAAGCTAAATAAAATAATAAAATTTAAAAAAAATCATTAAAAAACAAATGTTATTTAAATCACCATTAATAAAACCGCCAACCACATTAGAAAATAGCAATGTTGCCTTTGATTTAAAAAAAACACAACAACAAAGGTTAGTGGTTTCCTCCATTTATTTCATAAATGGTGCCTATTTTTGATGTTTGAGTTTGCAGTAATCCAAAAGTAATAAAAAAGTATTCAGATTACATTTTTCTTATGTATAGGATTACATTAGCAATTACAACAATGACCAGGTAATTTGTATTCAGTAACAAATATTATATTTCAGTAGTAATCTGATACAACCTGGGCGGCTGTGGCTCAGGTGGTAGAGTGGTTGTCTTCTGATTGTAAGGTTGGCGGTTCGATCAATGCCCCCTCCACAGCCCAAGTGTCCTTGGGCAAGACACTGAACCTGAAGTTGCTCCCAATGGCAGGCAGCACCTTGCATGGCAGCTCTGTCACCATTGGTGTGTGAATGGGTGAATGAGAAAACAGTGTAAAGCGCTTTGAGTAGAAAAGCGCTGTATGTGCAGTCCATTTACCATTTAACCGTGTTTACCTGATAATGTAAAACAGGTCTTTACCATTCCCATCTTTTGTATCATGTTCACACCTGTTCACACCTCCGCCACACTCAGTATGCCACACATTTTCCCTTAAGGTATAAAGTATTTGAATAATTAATTGATTGACTGATGGTTTGCTCCTGTCTCTAAATGCAGACATTCTGCGCTACAGACTGGGAAATGTTCCAGATTGGCAGCAGGGTCTTCTTGGTGGTTGCTAATGGACACAGACTCCATGGTAATGGACCAAGTCAGTACACCATCAACTCCACCATCTACGAACTGGACATTAGTGGGCAATTGTTCGTCCGCTTCCAGGACATTGTCACCTACAGGTATAGATGCGTGTACACACAGAGACCACAGGAACATTCTCTATGTAATACTGCATTTGCAGCCATTTCATCACCCTCACATACCTTTCTCTTTCTCTCCAGTGCAGTGGATTGGGAGTTCTTCAGCCTCGGGGAGGAATATTTTCTGGTGGTTGCTAACTCCTTTAACGGAGAATCCTACTCTCTCAACAGCATTCTTTACAGGTATTCAACTTGTCAACAGCATCCCTCCCAGTGTCATATAATTCATCCATCCTGATTGCCTTGTGCTATCTGTCATGAAACCATCCCATAGAAACACACTTACGCTGTTGTAATGTAGATTTATTTCCTTACCGTGACCCAGACTACTAAAAGCACACCAGAACTTTTGATATGTGAGGATTCCCAAAGGCCTTAAACCATTGATAAAGCGGATGCTTTTTCTGTGTTTTTTTCCCCCCCAGGTGGCAGGGATATGAAGGATTTGTTCCTATTCATTGGCTCCCCACAATTGGGTGCAGTGACTGGGAGTTTTTCAGCTCTAAAGGAGAATCATATCTGATCTACTCTAGTGCCAAAGCACCTCTCTCAAAAGTGTTCATGCTTAAAACCTACTAGACAAAAAAAGTGTGTATGTGACTTTGTGTGCCTAATTGTAAGTGTGTTCCTGTGTGCATTTTTTTGTTGTTTTTTTTTTGCAACTTGCAGTGTGGAAAAGGTTTTAAAGCCATCATGTAGCGAGAAATTTACAAAAGTGTAAATTAACAGAAAAACAGAATATTGAAAAGAAAATATTATTAAAACATTGGCTACTTGGAAATGTCCTAGAGGTTTTGACTGGAGGGATTTGGCACAGGAACTTGCCATGCAGTGCTATTTTAACAACTGATGTACCTCACTTGAACACAAATGTGATGTAGACAAACAGAATATGTCTATTTGTGTGAATGAAAACAACTCTAGCCTCCGTAGATTCTTCTGTAAGAACATTTAATACTGAATATTTAAAATTTTGTTTGCTAACTGGAATGTGTGTTCTCATAGAAAATAGGACTGATTGTTACACTTTGCCTCTGACTGCATGAGTTATATATAAAAAGGGAGAGTAAATTATTGAAATTTAAATAAACTATACTTAATATTGTGGCATCTGACTATTATATGAACACAACTGAACATCAATAACAAAACCAACAATCTGTTTGGGTAAAAATACCATAACAGCCTCCTTCACAAACATCAGCTCTAAAACAGTAACAATTCAACCATTTTTCCTGCAGGAGGGTGGCACAGCAGACCTACGCACTGGGAGTGTAGCGAATAATTACAACTACATATTCTTTCCCAATGAATAAACACCCACGCCACCACAAGTACCACAGGAATACTTTAATGATATCACCACAGGTGAATTTGCGCTCTACCAGCCACTCTTCCAACAACAGGAGGCCAACAACAGCCGGCAGCACTAAAGAAAATACTTGGCAGGGTATCTGTATGACCTACAAAGTAGTTGAAGTAGAACAATGTAAAGCAAATAAAATGAGCACTCTGTCCATGAAATCAACACAATGCATAATACAATACAATACAATACAATACAATACAAAATTCTAATCTCAGTTATCACTGCTAAAGACATAGTTTAATGTCATCAAAATATTCTCATACCTTGCTGCTGCTACTATTTCTAAGCTTTCATGCCCCTTTATTTAATTACTGGCAGATCCACATTTTGCTTTTCACTCTACACAAATTTCACAAATGCAATACAGCAAGGTGACTTTCCATTACCCCGACAATCAAAATAACACTAATTTGAACACAGAGTTTGATTGGTTCACTCTTATCAGGTGAGGTGATCTCGCCTTGTCTGTCAAAATTGTCCCTCTGTCCCAGTGTTCCCTTACGGCAGTTTGTTTTTATGCAAGACATTATGCATTGTTTATTTATTATCCTTCAGCTTTGCTCATGTAGTCTTTGATTTATATAGAATCTTGTTCACATGACCTGGGCACAAAATTAAAAATCTGTACAAAAACTTACATTCATAAGAAATGCTAGTTTCTAAAAGACTACAATTCCCATGATGCTTCTATAACATTAGGGAATAGACTTGCCGGAAATGTAGTTTTTAGGGAAAAAAACGTGTTTCCGTAAGGACTATGTGGGTATAAAACGTATTTGTTTAGCTACTTCATAAAGTGACAGCACATTACAGAAACTGCACTGGCCAAGTTATGAAAACACCTTTAGTTACTTTCATTTTCAGTTTGTACTTCGCCAACGTATGCTACTACAAGTACCACAATGCACCACTGCATTTTCTCCCAGGAAGAAACATGGCTGCCCACTGTTCAGCGATGGTATTTTTATTTACGTTTCGTTTGTTTTCTGTTTTAAGACAGACAGAGGAAGAAAGAGCCTGTGTCCGAGGACATTTCGAGTAGCTGTTCAGTTTTGTAAACTGGTGGAGTTTCGGTACAGAGGCGGTATTTCGACAGTCGTTCAGACACCGACCGATAACAGTCAGATTTTTTTTGGATTTTCGCTGAGCTGTCAAGCTGCTCGTCTGTGTCGGGCTGCAATTGATTTGCCTTTGTTAGCGTGCTAAGCTAGCCAAAACTACATAACTGCGAGTCCAACGCGTACACAGCCGGTACTAGTCGCGATGTTTAGCCCCGTGAATTCTTCTTATTTCAGAGTCAGCCCGGCCATTGTCAACAGAGAACTCGGCAAGACCAAGATGAGATAGCAAGAGGGCACATCGGAGTGCTAACACACGATTTACTGCGAGGCGGAATCCTAGCAAAACCGAGAGAAAACGGAGTAAATACAATATAAGAAAAAAACAATAACACGCACACAGCATGTTTGGGAATCTTTTTGAGGAAGAGGAGGAGGACGGTTTCTCTTCCACTTCCTCTAAGGGAAGAGCAGCAAAGGGGGGAGATGAGCCACCTCCACCTCGAGGAAGAAGCAATCTGTGCGGCATCAAGAACCAGGGAGGGACCTGCTACCTCAACTCTCTGCTCCAGACCCTGCTGTTCACCCCCGAGTTCAGAGGTAGGGACAGGTGGACATCAGTGCAACACATAACCTCACAATCCTCTTATTCTGTTTACTTAACCATAGTTTGGTGTGTGTGTTTTGTAGAGGAGCTGTTCAGTTTGGGGGCAGATGAATTAGGATGTCTGGAGGACAAAGACAAACCAGAGGCTAAAGTAAGTGTTGCGAGGTGACTGCAGGTGTAATTGCCCATGTGTCTTTGTGAGGTGTAATGAGGTTTCTTCCTTCCTTCTCCTCAGGTCAGAGTGATCCCACTGGAGCTTCAGAGACTGTTTGCCCGTCTGTTGCTGGTGGACCAGCAGAGCGCCTCCACCGCTGGTCTCACTGACAGCTTTGGCTGGAACAGCAGTGAGGTCTGTGTCCATTATCTGTGACAGCGGGAAGGAGAAAGAGTCTCAAGTTGCACTTCTCATTTCAGTCATTGATTTTCTTTCCAGTAATGCCAGGAAATGCAGTCTAAAGTTAACAAAACTGTGTTTCCAAATTACTATATAGTACCCTGGCCGGCTATGTGATTGGAATTCCTTTTAGTCTGGAGGCGGTCAGGCTGCAGTCATGCAAATTTAATACATTAAGAAGGAGAACAGAATAAAAGCAGACGTAGAAGTCGCCACAAGCCATATGAACCACATGTTTCAGGTCAGAGTTGTACATTTAAGTAAAGAATGACAGATTGTGCCCTATCTTAATGTATGCTAGTTTTATTGACAGTTTATTGTGTTCCTGGTTAGGTCAGGGGTAAAGACAAAGACTTAATTGCGCTTTTATCCCAACGTGCATTTATTTGTCAAAGAAAATCAGGAAGCTTTTCACAACTGAAAAAAATAGCAAATGTTGTCTGTGAACAGTATTAAAAAACAGAAATTAAATTTTCAGTCTGCTGAGAGCTTTTTCAGTGAGGTTTGATTATGTTCATCTGTGTATGTTTTTGTTTTCTGTATACATGAGTGAAATACACTGATTTCTTCTCTGTAAATACGACAACATTTTAGAATGAAAAATGTAATTTAGGATGTGCATAGTATGAAACTGGGACATAGCTTCAGTCTCTAAATTGTTCCTTTTTTTGGTGTTTCTTTTTTAAGGGGACAAATCAGCATGATGTGCAGGAGCTTAACAGGATTCTGTTCAGTGCCTTGGAGCACTCTCTTGTGGGCACCAGCGGCAGTACATTTATTCATCGGCTCTACCATGGGACCACTGTCAACAGCATTGTCTGCAAGGATTGCGGAAATGTCAGCCAGAGACAGGTGTGCCTCTGTGTGAACTCTCCACAGGCCTTAGTGACCTGCTACCTTGTTCAAAACTGTGTTCTGTCCAAATGTACATGCGTGTTTGTCTTAAGCCAAACTAGATTTAGATGTTTGACAATGAAAAAAAAAAACGCCTTGCAGCAGAATAAATCTCCCTACTAAATGTTAGGATTGAGGTTATTAATTAACTCAGTGCGCTTGTGCCCTTTACAGGAGGACTTCCTTGACCTGACGGTGTGTGTTTGTGGTGTATCCAGCCTGGAAGAGGCTTTGTGGAACATGTTTGTGGAAGAAGAGTTGTTTGAGGGCAATAACCTGTACCGCTGTGCACAGTGTAACAGACTGGTCACTGCTGCCAAGGTCAGTGCCACCTTTCAGAATGAGTTAACACCATAATAAAGCTTTTATTGCAGTAAACTAGAGAACTTTCTCGTTTTCTCTCAGTTTCAGTGTTTGAATGAGCTGTACGTTAAACAGTAGAATAGAAAAGAAAGTACAAAACTAAGCTGGTTTAAAACTTGCACTTGCAAAAATAGAAAACCATCTAATGTTGTTTCTTACCTCTCTTTATTTTGCTTTGCTGTTATTCAGTCTGCCAAGCTGAGGAAGCTGCCTCCATTCATGACTATGTCTTTGCTGAGATTCAGCTTTGACTTTGCCAAATTTGAGCGATACAAGGAGACGGGTCGCTACAGCTTCCCCCTCACCATCAACCTACGACCATTTTGTGAACAGGTACTCGAGAGTTTTTAACTGAACTTCTGCTAGTAGATTACTAATAACATGAACTTTCTCAACCGTTTTAATTTTATTTGTGTGGATACCAGGCTTATGGCATCCAAAAAGTCTGTGTTTCAGTCATTTGTATGTTGATAATTTTGTTTTTCTGTCTGATAGACTGATGGTGAGGACTCTGATTACACCTATGAGCTGTTCTCTGTGATTATCCATAAGGGCGGCTGCTATGGTGGCCATTACCATGCTTACATCAGGGACATTGATGAGCTCGGCCAATGGGAGCCACCGGTGAGAGAAAGACCAAAAGAACAAACAAGAGGAACAAAAACCTTTGATGTAAAATTAGGAAGCCATGAGTTACCTTTCCTGTTTTTTGTAACATAATACACGCTGGCATTTTTTTCTGTGTGCATTACTATCAGCAAATATCTATCAAACTCTGGAAGCATTTAAATGTGCGCATTTGGGAACACAGGAGCTCTGTTTCTCGTTGTCAGGAGGAGGACTGCAAACCCAAAACTCAGAAGAAAGTCAAAGAGGAGGTCAAGGAAGTGTGTGAGCCAAAACTTCAAGAAGATGACCCTTTGTCTGTCCTCACTGCTGTTATTGCCCAGGTACAGCAAGAGCATTTCTGCCTTTGTCTGAGTTATGTCTGTTTCGTTCATGTTTTCTTTCTGGACACCGAATTAGCCAGGAGTCGTGAATAAAATGCTGTTTTGTTGCTGTCCTCTAGGAGTCCTCAAAGAGTGTCCTGTTGGACCAGCTAGGCCAAAAACTAATGGATAAAATTGGTTCATCCTGGAGCAAAAAGTTCAGAAAACACTATGGCCCCATTGGCAAGGTATCACTGGTTTCTGTGGTGATGATCAGCAGTGTTTATTTGGTCTTTTCATTGTTTCTTGTTCCTCTATATAAACCTGGGTTTCTGTGCTTTGATTTTTTTTTTCGGATATAGTTCCTACAGTCCCACAATGAAGTTTTCCTGTTGGTGTCCAATGGCACTCGGGTGGCACTGAAGACAAACCCGCCAAGCCCAGTGACCGAGCCCCCCGGCCCAGCAGAGCCGACCACTAACTCTGATCCTTCAGCAGCTCCAGAATCAGGAGGTTCTGAACCACAGCTGGGACCAAATCAGAAGCCAGAATCGAAACCAGAGGTATGACAACAATAGCCTGTAATAGTGAGTTTAAAGTGCATTCATCTAGTGTAAAGCCTTTTGAAGCCTTGATAGTTTTAATTTTAATCTCTATTCTTTATGGACATCTTGTGATTGCTTTGATGCCTGTTTTCTCACAGTGTGTCTTCCTGTCTAGCAGCAGGGTAGCCACTGGTTTGACCTGAACGACTCCGCTGTGACCTCCATCAGGGAGTCGGACATAGAGAAGCAGTTCCAGGGCAAAGAGAGCGCCTACATGCTGTTCTACAGAAAAACACAGCTGCACAGGCCCAGAGAAGGTAATGAACAGCATGTTTTGTGTTTGTAAGGGAAAGATTATGTCTGCCTTGTTTGACTGGAGGAAGAAATGGAGGAGAGATAAATAACAGAAACGGGAAAAAATAAGAGTAGTGGGTTCTTGTCAAAGTACACAAGGTGATCATTTGTTTAATTTTGATAACTCGTTCATAGTTGTGTATTAACTAAATTGAAGATGAAGTTATTAGATGACTTGCATGTTTTGTTTTTGTTTTTTCCAGCTCTGAATAATCCCCAATATAAGATTCCTTCCCACCTCATCCAGATGGCTCAGGAGGAAAACATCAAACTGCAGCAGATGCGGTAAAGAAATAAACACACACATTTACAGTTCTCACTATTATCACTACACTTAAAGCTTCGTAGTAGGTTCCCACTCTCAGTTGTGTCAATTCATTTGCATCTTCAATTTCTAAATTCATACAACACGTATGAATACAACAACAAAAGAAAAAGGTGTGTCAAAATGAGGTTGTTGAATTGAAAATTGCTAAGAGTCAACACTGTTTCTGTTACAGTGAGGTGTTTGAGGCCAGTAATAACACAGTGGAGCTGCATCTGCACCTGGCACCCTCCTATAAGTTAGAAAATGGAGCCCTGCAGACAGTCCACAAAGAGTCAAATGGGAGCACGACACTCAGTTTTGACCGTAGGAAGACTGTGGGAGACCTGCGATTAGCCATTTATCAGGTATTGTAATTTAAAAACAACAGCTACTGTGCTTTGATATCCTGAAAGTAACAATAAGAATAATCTGTGTGTTTGCATGCGCTTAGATGCAGGAACTCTGGGAGGGAGACATGGCTCTGACTGTTGCCAAAAGTCTCCCAGCAGGTTTACACCTCTACAACACTCTTACAGGTTAGCCACTTACATTGGGTTTTTTTTAAATGCCTCAGCAGGAGAACAGTAAGAGTCAGCAATGTGTTTGTTTTTGTAACCTCACCCTGCTTTTTAAAAAATTCTTTGCAGATGATAGTGTGTCAGTGTACAGTGCAGGAATCTACACAAACACTGACCTGTTTGTGTGGAATGGCAGAGAGGTGAGGAAAAGCATAATTCAGCACATTTGCTTTGTTGCTCGAATGCCTTACATTCTAGTTAAACACAAGCTTACTGAAGTAATTTCCATCTACATTTTTTTTTTTAAAAATTGTCTTTTCAGGTGTGTGGTGCAACTGTCCAAACTGGAGCTGAGTGGGAGCCAGTCCTGCTGACTGTAGTCCGTCCCTTTTTGGGCGAAGATGTGGAACAAGAGGTGGAGGATGGGGTGGAATGTAAGGAGAGCAAGGGAGATTTTGAAAATGGGGGGCCAGGGCTTAAAAAGGAGGCAAGAGGGTTTGCAGGTGGCTCAACTCTTGGGGAGGTGAAGGAGGCTTTAGGGGAGCCGAAGGAGAGTCTGCTGTGCCAGGAGCATAAGGGAGGAAAGAGAAAAGAGCAAGAGGCAGGAGAGGGTGGAGGAGCAAGTGGATGGAGGGTGTTTCCCCCTGATGACATGCAGCGGACTCTGAAGGAGCTGTCGCTGAAAGATGGAGATGCTCTGTTGGTGTTGGAGCCACAGTCCTTTGACAGCAGGTAACTTCTCTGTGATGCACTTTGTGTATGCCTGGCTTTCTTTGTGTTCGTTTTATGACTGTCTCTTTGTTAACTGTATTAAGCGTGTTCACCCTAAATGGAGATGTCGTCACCGTGACCACACCGTCTGACTGCCGCTGGCTCCAGGTGGAGTTTCGGCCTCAAGTTACAGGAGAGGACGGGGAGAAAGAGGAGGAGAGGAAGAAAATCAAGGTTCCAGCCACAGGAAATATGGTCAGTAGTTTGTTCTGTTGTGTTTGCTCGTTCTGATTGTTTCTCCTTTGTTTTTATCATTTCAATTAAGCAATGCATTGTTTGTTCTAAAACTCATTTAATGTTTGTATGATGCGCCTCTCCCACAGCTGCTGTCTGAGGTGAAACAAAGGGCTGTAGAGGAGCTGCAGCTGCAGGAACAAACCGCAGGCAAGACGCTCAGTGTTGCATATAACTCCAAAATGCAGACGTACACAAGTATATTGAAGTTTGTTAAACTAATCCAATATATGCATATTAAGTTGGTGTTTTTTAATGCTTTTGCATTTATGTCCTTGCAGTTAACAAGTGAATATAATTAGATGCATACAAAAAAATGTAATGTCATTGAGACATTCATTAATTTTGAAACATTAAGTTGAATTATTATTCATGATAAAGTTTTAATCACTTCCTATTAAACTGACAGTCTTCAAACATACGACTGCTCTTCTTCAGGTTTTCATTTGTTATCAATATACTGTATATGTGCTCTGTGGTTTCCTGATTTGTTATATGCAGTCCATTGAAATCCAATATGAATGTTAGATTTGTTCCTTCGTCAATATAGTTGATCAGCAGATTATTTAAAATAGGGGACTGATGTGTTTTTTTTAGGGCTGACACTAATTATTGGTAATCAAGGTGACTGTGTACAAACCTTAGAATACGAACTCTAACTCAAAATTAAAATTATTTTGCCCGTTTATGTTTTACATATGTTTAAAAAGAAAGCTTTTCAACGTTTCTCCTTCAGTCCTTTTCGCGATCAATATGTTAATAGTGCTGTGGGTGGGTCGCTGCTTGCCTACAAATAGAGGTGGCTGTATCAGGGGTAAAGTAGCGCGTTTTTAAATTCATTTGTTTTATGGGGAATCAGTAAAACATGATTATGTTATTTAGAAAAAATGTAAATACCTTGTTTATTAATGAGCCAGGCCAATGATCGGTCTACTCCAATGTGAAAATGTATTCAGGGTTGGCAATGAAATAGCAATTATGAAATCTAATTTTGTCTTTGGATCCTTCCACTTATGTTTTAAAAGTTGATATTCTTTCATTGGTTGTTATTTGTTTCATTTGCTGACCAGGTGCACAGTTCTGTCTGAGGCAGGTCGACTGCACAGGGAAACTCCTTCCTCCAGGTACTGTTTCATTTGTTACCTGGGGGTGATTTTAATGGTGCAGATCACTTAGAGCTGGAAATCCCCCTCATTTTAACAAAATATTTAGATACGCTTTCCCTGACACTGTCCCCTTGTTAAATGTTTAAAAGGTACTCCCCCTGCTTGTAATTTTTCTTTTTATCACCTGTCTTTGAAGTCTTAGAACACATGTATGAGGTGTTGTCTTATCCTGGTTTACCTGACAGTATGTGAGGAGCTGAGTGTTCGAGATGCAGGAGTACGACTCATGACCACACTGACTCTCTGTCCGGGAAATGGCCCCAGGGCATCACAGGTGTGTCTTTTATTTGAAGTCTTCAATAAAGTTTCTTGTATTTGCAGCTGCACCGATGAAAGTTACAGAACCTTTAATTGCATACTACAATTTAAAACAAATCACGACAAATCAAGGCACTATGAGCGTTTAAATTGCTTGGTTGAAGTTAAAAGATTTGTTTTCTGGCTCTCTGCAGCTTTTCTTGCACTTCACTGTGGGTACAGTGCCCTCTGCTGGCATGGAATTGGACATAATTGTAGAGAAGACTTGCACTGTTAAAGAGGTGAGGAAGTA